ACATGAAATGTCAAAATGCTGGGGACCGTTCTGCTATGCACACCATCACACATACACGCACACCAGACCACACGAACATCATGTGAGGGGACGAGGGAGGAGCGAAAAGTTTGCCAAAAGTTACACAGTCAAAATTTATTCTGCCAAAAGTTACACTGCCGAAGGTAACTCTGCCAAAATTGACACCGACTAGGTTAGGACTTGTTAATTAGGACGTGGGTTTTTAACAATGTCTTTCCCAATTTGCAATATTACTTTAAAATGTTAACGATATTTGATAATATGCAATTATATGAAAAATCAAATTATAGTATTAGATTTTAATCCAAATAAATCCTTATCGCAGCATTCTTTCAGGAGTCTTTGTAAGTGATTACAAACCACTAGTAATTGTGTCAATGGTTTGTAACAGTTTAAAAATAATTGAATTGAAAACTCAAAGATCACCCCTCGCTGGATATATGGAACGCTTATTGCTCGAAAGAGCACGCATGTGCCAGCGGTTTGATTCGCTTTTCGTTTCGTTTTCGAGTGTGTGTGTGTTTGTGAGACAATGCGGCCCCAAATCTTGCCCACCCACCCCACTGTCCCACCACCCCCCTCGATCATCCCGTCCACCCCTGAAAAGAGAAGACAAGCGCCTCTAAGGGGTCTTTAGACGAACAAAGGAAGTGGCTCGAGGGTGATAAGTCTACATGCATATCCATATCCATATTCACAGCTACTTCCAGCGGAGAGTCATGGTCGTTGTTTATCGGGTTATCGGGGTAATTGGCCCCCATTCGCCTGCATTCGCTGCCAAATCGACGCCTCTGTCCACTGACTTTAGCTTACCGTGTCACAAACGCACACATGCGCACGTTCGCTAATTGAAATTGAAGCATGTAACTGTAAGTCGGGCTCTCGCAAGGAAAACGTGAGCATAAGCCGCTCTCTATCTTTCAGTGGAGAGCGGCTCCTCCCACCTTGGAAAGAGCAAAAGAAGAATGGCTGGGAAGTTTGAGTTCGAGTTGCTTGAAAATGCGATGTAAGGAGTGTGTAAAAAGTTTGCGGCGCAAATAATTGCCCATTTCCGTTCTGTCCCACTGTTTGTTTCTCCGACTTTCTGTTTTTCCGTCCGTTTTCCCCAGCACCCGCAGAAGTTAATAAATTAGACTCAATTACAGACAAACTTCGAAAAGTCGACCACACACTTTCGAATTCTATAAGCTCAAAATTTGCACCTTTGCATTCCAGAATTTAGAGTACTAAAATAAGTTGTATATCTTTCACTTAAAATAACTTGAGTAAAAAAAAATTGAAGACATAACAATAAAATGAATTTAAATAGAAATCGTTAAATAAATAAGGGCTAGATATATAAATTTAGTTTTAAAATATACGCTTCTCAAATATTTTAAAAATACAATTTTTGTTGGATACAATAAACCATTGGGAAGTATAGTTTAAGGTATTCTTAACAGTAAACCCTATTCAAAAGCTACAATTACAAACTATTTATTTTAAACCCTGTTTTTAAAATCAAATAATGTAGATAAGGCCTCTAAATCGAATCGAAATTGTGTTTTTAATGGTAGTTGGACTGTAAAAATAGCTGCGATTGAAAGCAGTATGGACAGACAATGTAGGCTTGTTAACAATTAGATTTATGAGCATACTGCGCTCACGCCTGGCCCCCGGCTCATATATCATGCATTTCTTATATTTATTGCATATTCAAGTTTTGCATGCAATAAAAATATTACGTATACGTCAGCGGAGTGTCAACAAACTGGTAATGTGGCACAAGTGTGATTCAATAAGCCGGGTGGAGGGTGTTGTGGCCGCCAGGTGCGATCAGAATTTAGTACGTGTCTGGGGTTTGTGGAGTTACATATGTGGTCCGTCCGGACAAGGTTATATAACCACCCATAAAATCGCACAGCCATAAGAAATATGAAATAAGAAACGCTGCACCGCCGGACAGAGTTGACTTGACTTGACTTTGACCGGTCGGTCAATTTAGCTGCAGTTGAGCGGGCTAATTGCCGCTTTCAGATCTAAATGAGCGGCGCACACGCAAATGATGGAATATACACACGGCTACGGGCACTTGAGCGGCACAGGCACACACATTGTAAGGAAATGCCGCCAGCCGGGCAGGCAGGCAGGCAAAAGATTTTAAGATTTGAAGATCCGAGATTCCAAATTCGCGACTCGGGGGCACTTTCTCAGAGCCTCGCAAAGGTCAAAGCGAAAACGATCTGCAGATGTATCTCGGTTCGTGACTCTGACTCGTGATGGGCACTTAGGAAATCCAGATATAACCGATGCCATTTAGAGAGACGCGCCGCAACATAAATAGCAATTCCAAAGCCAAACAATTTTCAATTGCCAAATGCCCGAGACGCGGTGGCTTTTCCTCTCTCTCACTCGATGTGCCGCCAACGCCGCCAAACTCGTTTCCACTGTAATTGAAACTAAATCTATTTTTAGATCCAGTCCCCAGCCAGACGCCAGCTCAGAAAATATTGCCAAAGCCGCCAATCGACCACAAGCGATCAATCGATCGATGGGTTTATGTGTCTTATTGGGTTTTGAGACCCACACAGAACAAGAGTGTGATATTTGCTAGGATAGTTGAACAGCTATCTCCATTACATAAACAGTGTAAAAACTATAAACCTATCATTAGAGTTTTTATTTTGGGACTAAGGCTTGCCTGGCAAATAAATTTGTTTTTTTTTTTTAATTTAATGGCACACAACTTTAAGGAGATTTTATAATAATTTATTTTTTTAGCTCTAATTTCCAGAGTTATGAAAACTGTTTCCCCATTTTTCATTTGTCAAAGCGACTTTATATTGAAAGCGTTCAATTGGGTTTTTATATTTCTGACGGATACCCTCCAAAAACTGATATTCTGAAATTTTAAACCAGGGAAGCTTAATAGTTTACAAGGAATCCTCTAGATTTATTTTAATTCTAGCTTTTTTAAATCCCTTCCTTTAGGCTTAAGACGATCTTAATTCCGTACTCACCATTCTGAGGGCCCTTTCGTTGGGTTAACGGATTAGCGGAATGAACTGAGTATGGATTCTCCGACGAGACTAGCACAAAACTCTGTCGATGCCAAAATGTTTGCGAAACTTCTGGCCAAGTGGCTTTTATACGCCGCTCGCATTCAGCGGATGCGGATGCAAGGGCTTGGGGTTGGTGGTTCGGCTTGATGGTGGTGGTAGTGGTGGTGCCAATGGTTTTGCATAATGCGCGGTTAGTATTGGCTGATTACAAAGAGCCCCGAGACAACTCAAACTGAAGTCAAGCCAAGAAAAGCGTATAAATTATACGATTGTGGCCCCTTCAGAATGTCTGTTCTGGTCATATGATTATGATTACGTTGATTAAAACGCGCTCTTATCGCCACTTGGTCCGCTGCTGTGTGTTAATGTGTGTTGTCCCATGCCGAGTGCTGTGTCCTCCTTCTCCGGCGTTTTAGCATCCCATATTCCGCATCCGCCCCGTGCGCCCGCCCAATTGCAATTGCTCATACGCCGCGTTGGCGACAGGACAGTCCGCCAGTGCCGCCTTTCAATTTGCCAACAAAGGGACATCGTTAGGCAAACGGATGATGGATTCATTATGCACATCGATATGCGCTTATTGAAGTCTCAAGGCTATGGGTTAATGTGTAACCCTTTCCCTTTCCCTTTTTCTTTCCTTCTAAAGGCTGAGATACTTAAAGCTCTTTATGTCAACCACCATATGGAACACCACCTATTTAGCTACTAAATATATGGATGGTAATTTAATATTAAATTTAGTATTAAACCAATTAATGTGTCTTTAACAGTGAAAACTATTTAAGCAAACCTAAAGTACAAAAACCATAAACCAACTAGTTGTATCTATGTAATTTTTATACCCTTGCAGAGGGTATTATAATTTCAGTCAGAAGTTTGCAACGCAGTGAAGGAGACATCTCCGACCCTATAAAGTATATATATTCTTGATCAGCATCACTAGGCGAGTCGATCTAGCCATGTCCGTCTGTCCGTCTGTCCGTCTGTCCGTCCGTTTATATGCAAACTAGTCTCTCAGTTTTAAAGCTATCTGCATGAAACTTTCCCAAAAGTTGTCTTTCTATTGCAGGTAGTATATAAGTCGGAACGAGCCGGATCTGACGACTATAGCATATAGCTCCCATAGGAACAATCGGAAAAATAAATGAAAAAAAATTATAACTTTGCTGTTTTTTAATTTTTTGTTTAGTTCTTCGATATATAGTAATGGTTAAATATTTCCGATTTACGGTTTAAATTTCATCAAAATCGGTCGACTATAGCATATAGCTCCCATAGGAACAATCGGAAAAATAAATGAAAAAAAATTATAACTTTGCTGTTTTTTAATTTTTTGTTTCGTTCTTCGAGATATAGTAATGGTTAAATATTTCAGAATTATGTTTTAAATTTAATCAAAATCGGACGACTATAGCATATAGCTCCCATAGGAACAATCGGAAAAATAAATGAAAAAAAATTATAACTTTGCTGTTTTTTAATTTTTTGTTTCGTTCTTCGAGATATAGTAATGGTTAAATATTTCAGAATTATGTTTTAAATTTTATCAAAATCGGACGTCTATAGCATATAGCTCCCATAGAAATAATAAAAATATATAAAATAACTATCTAATAATTGAGCTGCAAATCATCATAGTTTCAATGTTTTTCAGCATATACTCAAGTAAATCATAATTTAAATGTTTTCAAAAGTATTTAATTCATGCAATAGCTGCAAGGGTATATGAACTTCGGCTTGCCGAAGTTTGCTTTCTTTCTTGTTATGCTTGTTTTTAAGTAACGAAATAATTATTTTATTTTTTTTAACCTTTAATTTTAAATATGATTTAAAAAAAACTTGATTTTTTTGAAAATTGTAATTATACATTTATATTTCTATTTGCTTGTTTAATAGAACAAGCATTTAACTTATGATTATCAAGAATTATTACAATCATTTCGATTTAAACCAATTGGTTTAATTATATTTTACCTTAATACATTCGTAATCGTTCGTATAGCTACCTAAAGTTTTAGCTTATCCTTGCCATGATGACCATGTCCGTGACCGTGACCATGACCATGACCACCACCTCCACTTCCTCCGCCGACGACGACGGGCTTAATCACCACTACGGGTTTAACAATCACGGGTTTCACAAACACGGGTTTTGGTTTGACAAATTTGGAAAGCAGTTGGCTGGGATCCTTCAAGAATTCCGGCTTTGGTGGCAACTTGGCTAGCAGCTGACTGGGATCCAGCATGGGTTTCGGTTTGCTCAACTTGGCCAGTAATTGACTGGGATCCGATAGAAAGGCGGGCTTTGGTGGCAGTTTGGCCAGCAGCTGACTGGGATCCGGAAGAGCTGGCTTGGTTTTCTGGATGGTCAGGGTGCCCTGGACGCCACAGGCGAATAGACAGGCACATCCGATGGCCAGGAGCAGCAGGTGACTCTTGGGCAGATCCATTGTGAGTGTGGCGGCCCAGTGAAGAAGGCATCTATTTATGGTGGATGATGCTCCCGTTTCCAGACCTCATTGGCATGCACCACCTGCTGCCCGATCTTGGCGAGCTTTTATTCAAATTTTAGTCGATCGAATCGATCGAAACTCTTCATACGGCAGGCGGCGGCATTCCACGCGTTCTGTCGGAAGAATTCCCCGAGTGTATGCTGAATTCACAATTACCGGCAAGGCAGGGTTTTCCTTCTCGTAATTCTGCGCGACATTTATTCATGATCGATCTGAGTTGGCATTCAGCGGGCGATCCGCGAGATTCAAATCAGACATGACATGACGTCTTTTGCTCCCGAGAAACAAGGCTTTCCATTCGCATGCCAAATGTGTGGGCAAAAGTTGACATAATTTCTGAATCCGAAGGCGGAAGTAAAAATAAACAGAGCCTATTCCATAAGGTGTCTCAGATTAAAATATTTAAATAAAATCATTCCATTTATATATTTTGTTGACCTTTATTACATTGCATGGGAAACGATTTTTTAATGTCTAAAGCAAATCACAAATATATTAAACATCGAAATTTAAAGCTAGAATATTGTTTTATAAAAAATGACCCTTAATTTCATTTGATTTCCTTATTAAAGTAAACTAAGTTTTTCTAATTAGTATATTAGATAAATAGGTATAAATAGATATAATTTTAAATTAAAAACCATAATTATTTATTTGAAACGTTAAACTTACTAAAGTGTATTTATTTGACTAATATAAAAACTAAAAATAATAAATTACATATATTTTAAATTATGAATATTAGTTAATTTAAACTAAAATATTTTATTTATTTTTCCGTGTGTCAATTTAATATTACATTTTTTCAAAACTAAACTTTTATTTTTAATTGCTACAAAGCAAAAATTTCAATTTCTTCACATTCCAAATTAAAAACCGGCCAAAAGTAGGCAACGTTTTAAGATATAAAAAACCCACTATCGATATCACATACCGATAACAACTATCGCATCCAGCAATCGATGGCAACACTGGTTTGTTTATGCGTTTGTTTTGTGTAAACACGACAACCCTGCTAGACAAGGGAGAAAAAACAAATTGTTTTGCAAACAAATCTGTGTTATCAGAGAAAATATAGATTTAAAAAGATATGGACGACAGTGTAATACTGCTAGATGATTCGCAAAACAGCGTGGTGATCGTGGAGGACGACGTGGAAGACGGGGAGCTGGAGGATGAAGTGGAGTTCGTGCCGCCTGAAGATGTGACCCAAAAAGAGGTCGAACCTGCCGCCAAAAGTGAGGAAATTGAAACAAATAATGTCAGTCAGGTGGGTGCTTGATTATATATCCAGTACTCCGATGAAATCAGCAAACGTCCCTTTCAGGATACCACCCAAGACGATGGGGATAACCCGGTTTTCGAGGTGAGATTCGGCAATGAGGAGCACTTCGCCAGTCTGCAGAAGCAAATGCTGGAGGTTTTGGAACACACTTTTGCGGAAAAGGAATTGGATTTCAGGGTAAATCCAGAAGAACTGGTAATCGCTGCCTTTGAGAGGAGTGAAGATGCTGCGGACACTGAGGATCTCTTCATGATCGACACTCAACCGGTGGCCAAGCTAAATGCCTCCCAAGTTCCCTCCTATAAACGCTGCAATTCAGACATCCTGGACGAGCAGACGGAGGCGCGGAAGAAACTCAAGGCCGAGGCGGTCAACAAGTGCTTCCGGCCCAAGGCGCAATCCTCGTGCTTCAATTGCGGCGACACAGATCACTCCCTGCGCGAGTGTCCCAAGCCCAGGAACAATGCCAAGATAATGCGGGCCCGCCAAAAGAACAGCCACCGCATGGAGCGGTATCACGTCGACGCAGAGCAGCGCTTCGGTCACATTCGTCCGGGGAAGATCAGCACCAAGACGCGTCATGCCATGGGCTACAGTCGCGTCCAGTTGCCATTCATGTTCTACCGCCTCAGGGTGCTGGGCTATCCGCCCGCCTGGCTGGAGGACGCCAAGGTCCAGGGATCGGGAATAGCCCTATTCAATGCAGATGTGAGACTGATAACTACGCCATCAGCTAAATGCTAACTTTACCTTCTTGCAGGGCACCGAGGTCATCAAATCCGACGACGAAGATGGAGAGTCTGACACCTTTAAGTACGACATCAACAAAATAGTCGAGTTTCCTGGCTTCAATGTTCAGCCCGCTGACAAGTTTTTCGATGTAAATATAAGCTACAGCTACTATGCCCAAGACTCTTTTAAAAACCTTTAACCCCCAAAGGACTTTAAATACCACAATGTACCGCCATTTCAAGAGAGCCAATCCAAGGCGAACTTTATCAAATCGCTGGGCGAAAACGTGACCAACGGTTACAAGCGCAAGAAGCTGGTGGATCTGCCAGCGCCGCACGACCAAGAGCCCGTTCCCAGCGAGAAGCAGACCAGCTTCGGTGACTGCGACATGGAGCTTGTGGACGAGGCCGAGGATCCACCGCTGCCGCCATCAACGCCTCCACCACCACCACCCCCGCCAGAGGAAGATGAGCAGGAGGTACGCTCTCCGTCGCCAAGTCTGGATGATTTGAGGGCTCAGCAGGAGAAGCTTATGCAGCAATTGGAGTGCAACACGTCACTGAACACGACGGCAAACGATTCAATATCACAGACTGACCTGGATGACACCTCTGAGGTGGCCGAGCCTGCAGTGAAGTCCCAAGAGATGGAACAAACGCAATCAGCTCCTGCGACGCCCTTCAAGGCTTCCTATGAGGGAACGCCCTTGCTTAAATTCTCCGTTTATGATAAATTGCCCGTGGGCAGCAACTTCAAGGTGGGCGTCAGCGATGTCATTAACTTTGAGAACCTGCCCGACTCCACCGGGAAATACGAACAAATGAAGGGTCTGCTGAAGAACGTGCGCGAAAAGATGGTCAAACTGCAAAATGAGAACTGACAAGCCCATGGACAAAGATATGCAAACCACATCTCATCCCGCCCACCAATTGTACAATATTTTAAATGTTTTAAAGCCTCGCGCAAACCAAATAGACAACAGAAACATGTTTTCCAAAGTCTATTTTTAAAAATTTCCAAATATGTTAGTTAATAAGCCTGTGTTTTGTTTTTTGTGTATGCGGTCTTGCGTTTTGTACAATGTAAGGTATGTATAATTTTTCTAATCTGTGTAAACGTGCTAAGGGATTTAACCAATTGAATTTCTCTGGTTCGATCCGCCATCTAGGCTCTAGTGAAGAATTTTCTTTCTCTTTCGCGGGAGAAATAACAAAACAAGGAAATGCGTATTGCGAATTGTGTTGTAGAAGCTCAGGTTTTGGCAGAAGCAAGCATCCACGGCCACATCTAGTTGATGGCCGGCGGAGGAGGCGGCGATCCGTCCTGGTTATTGTCACGTCTGCCGCCGGCGCGCTTGGTGCTGCTGGTCAAGTGGCCCCAGGTACTCGGATTCAGTATGTACATGAACATGGCAACGATCAGGAAGATCATCGCGACGGAGAAGCCGCTGCCATCGTCGCGACCGGCGGCCTGTGCCTGCTGCGCCGTACGTCCGGAAACTGAAAAATGGTTTGTATTTTAAGTTAACTAAAAAGTCCTTTGCAATATAGGTACAATTTCCTAGTTAAAAGATATATCCTGTTGCATACTTTTTGGGGACCAACTACTGAGAAGGCTAACTAAAGAAACTTTTTTGACCGTAACATTTGTTTAAATAAATTATTTGTTCTTCAAGTAATAAAATCTTTAAAGTACCTGGTCAAACAAAATAATTTGATTTAGAATAAAAAGCTGAGCTTAGCTTAATTCATAAATTGATATTTATAAATAGCTCTGATTTATACTTATATTGTTTTTTTTTTTTTAAATATGCGTGCAATTTTCTGCTAAGAAAAGTCTTTCAACAAAAAAAATTTTTTTTTTAATAATTTTTTTTTTGTTTGAAGATTAAAACAAAGTTTTTTTTTCCAAAACAGATTGAATCTCTAGGAGACACCATAGTAGAACTTACCATCGAAGCACTCGGTATCTGTGCAGGCATTCTGGTTCTGGCGTATCTGCAAGGAAGAGATATAGGATCAGAAAAGAAGAGGCCTCATTAATGGTGCAACCTACAAAGTTGATTAGGCGCTGCATCGCATATTCCTGCGACCAGACGCACTCGCAGCCATCGAAGTCGTCGGACATGGTTTCGGATTGAGTCTGATTTGAGCTGCGGAGATCCAAGTTTGTTTTCAAATAATATATATATTTTTTAAATGATTTTTATTTTAGTCTACAAGCGTTGACGTGTCTTTCAAACAGATCCGAACAGAGAACGAAGAGAACTGTTTTTAAACAAAACGAACTCAGCTGAGACTAATTTATTTACCAGCCGCAATCGAGCAATATAGTATATGGACTGTATATATGCTTGCACGATTCCGATAAAGTGGGTTTAAGTTGGCGAGAGCGGCAAAAAAAAGAGAGAGCTTGGAAAACGGGCGGTACGTACTGGGTATATGAAACTGGTACCAAATGTAATTTTACTTTATTCTAATACAATTTCAATTTTGGAGTCGTTGGCAAAGCAAGGTTATTCGATTGACAGTAAACGCAAATCGTATAAAAAAGAAATCAAAACAAAACAAAAACAAAAAGAAATCAAAGCCCCACAATGTCCACCCCAATAAATTCCCATATACACATACACACACACATACGTAAGCCCCCAAGTTTTCTGTATAAGTATTTTGACATAAAAACGCGATTATCAAAAAAACTAAAACAAGACGAAAAGTTTTAATTATCGTCTCGACAAATACAGGGCTTATCAAAATTAATTACAAGGTTGTTTCCGTTTGGAGCTCCGTTTTTTGAAGACCCTATCTTTTCAAAAACGTAAACACAACTTTCCCATTTTGTTGTTGTTTTTCCAATTGAAGGCGTAAACAAACACAGTTTGTGGGCGTACATCAATTTAATGGCGTTACCTTCCAAAACTTTTCACTTAAACGTGCTTCCCGTGCATGTCAATCGTGTTTGTAATAAAATTATAGTACACTTTTACCCTTGCAGCGTAACAATTAACTTTTTCTTACCAACTGGAATGGGAATAATAATTGCACATATGGTAGTGCTGGGTAACGACCAACACTGGAGGAAAGTATCGATGGAACTGCTGGCAGTGCTGGAAAGGTTCGGTTTGAAAAGTACCGGAAATGGCGCCCAATTAAACATTTAAAAACCTAGCAATGTAAAATTTCCCTATTTCAAAATTTGATCATTACATTTTATAAACAAAGAGAAGAATAAATCACATTTTACGAATTGGTTAGCGTATGAATCGAAATTAAAATTAACTTATTGCGAATTTTACTAAAATTAACACTCTTTGGTGTCTGTAGCAGGAAACATATATTCCGGATAATGAGCCTTACTGGCACTTAACCTCTTGTTTTACGACCCCGGCTTTAATTGTGATGGTTTTTATCGTGAAGGTGTAAATGAGTCGATATTATAGTAATAGCAGCTGTTTATCAACTAAAACGGTTTTAGATGCATTAGATAATCCCATTAAAAAGATAATGATAAGTGCGCTACTTATTTTTACCGACTTTCTACTGCTTTTAGGCAGCAAACTTTTAGAAGCTCCATTTCGCCTCCGCGTAACCATCAAAATGTTACTATTTTTGTTAGGATCGGTTTTTTTTCGTTTCGTTGGTGCTCCTGATACGGATTCCTCCGTGGTTATTAATGAACTCAATCAGGCTCTTCAAATAGAACTGAATGTATTCATAGACTTCGAAGATTTTGGCAGTTCTAATACACTTTTCAATCTGGACACACCCAAAATTCAACTCACTTTGGAATGTGAAGATATTAAAGATTTTCGAATACGTGGACATTTTACAGAACGAGCTCTAATCATAGTTAAACTAAAGGATTCAGGACTAGACCACAATGTAGCGGACTTCCTGCCCAATCTGTTGGACGAACTTCATGAGCTTAATATAGTATTCCTGAGTACGGAGGAACCAGTGTTTCTAAAAGAGGACCTATTTACCTACAGCTACAAACAGGGTTTCGTTAATGTGATTTTGATTTACGGCAAGGATCTCTACGGCTATCTACCCTATCCATCCATTCAACCTATTAAGCTCTCAAATATTTCCGAGTATCTCGATACAAGAAGGATTATTCGCAATTTTCGGGGCTATCCCATACGCACTATTCGAACAAAAGGAATTCCTCGCGATTTTGAGTATTTCAACGGCCAAAATGAGCTGGTTCAGGCAGGATATCTTTTTGCGGCTGTCAAGGAGTTTACTTATCGTTATAATGCTACTCTTATAAGTAAAGAATCGCCCAAAGGATCTAATGTCGCTTCATACCTGGCCATAGCGGAGATGCTGAGTCAAAAGGAAATCGACATAATCTGCTTCTACAAGGAGTTGGGCTGGCCTGTTGCAAGCACAGTGCCTCTTTCCATTGTCAACTATCACCTTATGGTGCCCCATGCCATCCCCATTTCGAGCTATTTTTACTACTCGCGACCCTTCACTTGGACTCTATGGCTGGTCATTGCTTGCACTGTATTTTACGGATCTCTGACACTGCATCTGAGTTCGAGAAAGAAGCAAATCGATGTCAGCAAGTGCCTACTGTACAGCCTTAGCCACATCCTCTACACCTGCCATGAAAAAATTAGGAACACAGGCTGGAGAGCGACGTCGATTCATATAATTCTAACAAGCTGTGGCTTCATACTCACCAATCTTTATCTGTCCACGCTGTCCAGCATCCTGACATCGGGATTGTACGAACAGGAGTACGATACACTGGAGGATCTGGCCAAATCCCCGTTTATCAGTCTGCACGACGAGTTCCACTGGACGTATTTCACGACATTTACCTTTCTGCCCGAGGCTCTACGCAGAAACAGCATGTCTCTAAATGTATCCATTGTGACGGCCTATCGCGATGGCCTCAACAAGAGCTATATGTACTGGATATCGGATGATCGGATAGAAATGGTCCTTAGGCAGCAGGAACTGCTCAAAAAGCCGCGCTTTTATAAGCTGAGTCAGCCAGTGGGGTACTCCCTCGAATCCTACTGCGTGTCTAGGAGTTTACCATACCTCGAAATGGCCAGTGAGTTCATGAGGCGTCTGCAGGAGCACGGGATTAACATCAAAATGAGGGCGGACACATTTCAGGTGCTGATCCAGCAGGGAATATATACCCTGATGAGGGATGATGAGCCGCCGGCCAAGGCATTTGACCTAGAGTTTTACTTTTTCGCCTTTGGTTTGTGGACGCTTGGAATGGGTTTGTCTTTCGTGGTCTTTTTGGGGGAGTCTTTTTAATTGTGCAAGTCACTTGTAAAAACATTTAATTTAATTAAAAACAAGAAAGAAAGCAAACTTCGGCAAGCCGAAGTTCATATACCCTTGCAGCTATCGCAAGAATTAAACATTTTTGAAAACATTAAAATTATGATTTACTTTCGTATATGTTTAAAAACATTGAAGCTATGATGATTTGCAGCTCATTTATTTGATAGTTATTTTATATATTTTTATTATTTCTAAGGGAGCTATATGATATAGACGTCCGATTTTGATAAAATTTAAACCATAATTCTGAAATATTTAACCATTGCTATATGTCGAAGAACTAAAAAAAAATTAAAAAACAGCAAAGTTATAATTTTTTTCAATTATTTTTCCGATTATTCCTATGGGAGCTATATGCTATAGTCGTCCGACTTTGATGAAATTTAAACCGTAAATCGGAAATATTTAACCATTACTAAATGTCGAAGAACAAAACAAAAAAATAAAAAACAGAAAAGTTATAATTTTTTTTCATTTATTTTTCCGATTGTTCCTATGGGAGCTATATGCTATAGTCGTCCGATTTTGATGAAATTTAAACCGTAAATCGGAAATATTTAACCATTACTAAATGTCGAAGAACTAAACAAAAAATTAAAAAACAGCAAAGTTATAATTTTTTTTCATTTATTTTTCCGATTGTTCCTATGGGAGCTATATGCTATAGTCGTCCGATCCGGCTCGTTCCGACTTATATACTACCTGCAATAGAAAGACAACTTTTGGGAAAGTTTCATGCAGATAGCTTTAAAACTGAGAGACTAGTTTGCATATAAACGGACGGACAGACGGACAGACGGACAGACGGACAGACGGACAGACGGACAGATGGACAGACGGACATGGCTAGATCGACTCGCCTAGTGATGCTGATCAAGAATATATATACTTTATAGGGTCGGAGATGTCTCCTTTACTGCGTTGCAAACTTCTGACTGAAATTATAATACCCTCTGCAAGGGTATAACAAAAAGCAATTACGACTAATTTATACGCGTTTCATTTCATAATGTTTTTGAAGTAATCATTGTTTTTGTACCCCTGTTGGCCAGTCAATTATCATAACAAATGTTGTAGCAAAGGAAAGTGTCATGTCATGTGAGCATTAGAACCAACCTATAAAAGCTTATTTTCACAGCTTAGTGTTTATCAAAATGTTCTCACTTATATTAGCGTCGGTTATTACCATTATCCGTGTCTTTGGTGCTCCTAATTCGGAACCCAGCCAAGTTATTTATGAACTTAATCAGGCTCTTCGAACAGAACTCAATGTATTCATTGACTTTGAGGATTTTGGCAGTTTTGACCATGTGCACATACCCAGAATTCAACTTACTTCGAAAATTGATGGTAGTGAGAATCTTCGAATACGTGGACATTTTACAGAACAAGCTCTAATCATAGTAGAGCTAAAGGACTCTGGACTGGACCCCAAAGTGGCCAACTTCCTGCCCAATGTGTTGGACGGACTTCATGAGCTACATATAGTATTTATGAGCAAAGGGGAACCATTGTTTCCAAAAGAGGACTTCTACAGCTACTGCTTTAAAAAGGGTTTCGTTAATGTGATTTTGATTTACGGCAAGGATCTCTACGGCTATCTACCCTATCCTTCCATTCAACCTATTAAGCTCTCAAATATCTCCGAGTATCTCAATACAAGGGGGATTATTCGTAATTTTCGGGGCTTTCCCATTCGCACTCTTCGATCCAAACTAGCGCCTCGCGATTTCGAGTACCACAACGATCAAGGTGAGCTTGTTCGGGCAGGATATTTGTTCACGGGTGTCAAGGAGTTTACGTATCGCTACAATGCCACTCTTGAGAGTGTACCCTTGCCCCATGTACCTGAACACGCAACATATAAGGCCATCGTGGAGATGCTGATGACGAAAGATATCGATGTTGTTTGTTATGTTACGCCGTTGGAGATCTGGTTCAAGGTGCCACACACAGCACCTCTTTCGATCCTTACCGAGTACTTCATAGTCCCACATGCCCGACCAATTTCCAGCTATCTGTACTTCTCCCGACCCTTCACTTGGACTCTGTGGTTGGTCGTGGCTTTGACCGTCTTTTATGGCTCCCTAATGCTGTATCTGACCTCGGGCAGGGCACGAATCGAGATCGGGAAGTGCTTGCTGTATAGCCTTAGCCACATCTTGTATAACTGCCACCAGACAATCAGAGTGGCAGGTTGGAGAGATGTATTCATTCATGTTGTTCTATTGATCAGTGGTTTTGTACTCACCAACGTCTATCTGGCCACGCTGTCCAGCATCCTGACATCGGGATTGTACGAAGAGGAGTACCATACGCTGGCGGATCTGGCCAATGCTCCGCACCCCAGTTTGCATGACGACTTCTACAGGATCCAACTGCTGGCGAAAACCTTTCTTCCCGAAGCTCTTCGACGGAACAGCATTACCCTCAATGCAACCGTGCTGACAGCAAATCGAGATGGCCTCAACAAGAACTATATGTATGTGTTGTACGAGGATCGCCTGGAGCTGATCCTGATGCAGCAGTATCTGCTGAAGGCGCCGCGCTTTTACATCATCCGTCAGGGTGTGGGCCACGCCCTCGAATCCTATTGCGTGGCCAAGAGTTTACCATATCTGCAAATGGCCAGCGACTTCATGAGGCGTCTGCAGGAGCACGGCATTAACATCAAAATGAAGGCGGACTCTTTTCGTGAGCTGATCCAACTGGGAGTGTATACCCTGATGCGGGACAATGAACCGCCGGCCAAAGCATTCGACCTCCAGTATTACTTCTTTGCCTTTGGATTGTGGGCTGCGGGCATGACTGTCTCTCTTGTGGTTTTCTTCCTGGAGGTAGCCAATAGCCGATATTATAGTAAGAGACATTAATTAGACTAAAGCTGTTAGTTTAAAATACCGCCTTTGCAATTTGCTTAGCCTTGGGTTCCTACAAAACTCTAGTTTTTATGTTTTTATCTTTATCCAAATTATAACAAACCAAACACATCTTAACAGCATTTAACGAAATATCTATAGCAATACATTCAAGCAATGAGTTTATACAATGAGTTTTCAAAAGACCAAAATAATGAAATGATTATTATAATAAGTCTACCACTTAATCCTGTTGAGACCATTCAACTAAAACTTTCAAGGCATATTGTTCTAAAATATGATTAAACGAATTTAATAAATGTTATTAAAAAAAAAGACCTAAGAAACATAAACCTACCGGCGATTTATATTTCGAAGGGATTAGTCTAATAGCGGCTCCGACTCAAGCCAAGTCTTCGAGATTTATTGGGAGGCATGCAAATTGGGGACATATCCTCTGCATTCTGTCTTAAGTTCGTGGACTCCTTGGCCAGATTAACATTTCTATCGGCGAGCGGCGTACTGGTGGAAGCTGGCATGGGAGCAAATCGTGGTTTAACCGGAGTGACAGCACTTTCCGCAGAAGTTCCAGTTGGCGTGCTAACCCGCTTGCTCTTTTTACTTAGTGACAGATTCCGGCGAGCTATCACGGATGTCGTGGTGCTCTTGTCCAGTAAAGCTTGTGATAACGAGGCGTGGATATCCTGCGGCGTCAGAGCACTGTGACACGAGGTAGTCTTTTGCAGTTGCCTGCTGCACTGGGGACGATTTTGTTGTGCTGGCGAGTTTCTTTCGCTGCGACGCCTCTTACTCGAGGGAATGCCATCGGAGGTGTCCCTTCTGTGCTTAGGTGTGACCACACTTGGGTTATCCGCACAATGGGACATGTTTTGGGTTCTCTGAGATAGCCTGGGAAAAACAGAGTCGTTGAAAAGGTCATCCTCTATTGAAAAAGGCATGTCATCGTCTATTGGAAAGCCATGGAACTCTTCACCAGAAGCACTATCTGTAGAGTCCGAGTCTCCTTCTTTAGGTTTACTAGCTATATTTGTGGTTTTACTTCTAGGAATTTCAGCTGGCGTCGCTACTGCCACATCAGCCATCAATTTGGCAGCTCTAACTCTCATCTCCTCCGATATTTCTATGCGTTTATTTGATGCTGTTCGAAACCCAAAGCATTCTGAAGTATATTCGGTTTGCCTTGTCAAGTTTTGGCCTGTGTGAGCATCTCTAGAAGGAATTTCTTTGGAGATTTCTTCTGCTTGGACTTCTGCCATAAATTTGGCAGCTTTAGTTTTCATTTCTTCAGACACCACAATTGGTTTATTTGCAGCTGTGCAAAAGCCTACAAAACCTGGATCGTCTCCAGATTTAAATTCAGCCATTAATTGCAGAGCTTTGTTTTTCATTTCTTCAGAAACTTTGATTGATTTATTTGAGGCTGTGCGAAAACCTTCAAATGTGGGTTCACTTATGGTTTCATTTTCCGCAGCCCTGATTTGTTGATTCATTTCTCCAGCCTCAACATCAGCTATCAACTTAGCAGCTTTCTTTTTCGTTTCGTCTGATATTTCAATGGGCTTATTTGAAGCTGTTCGGAATCCCACAAACTCTGTTTTGCTTTCGCATTGGCTAAGATTCTCTGAATGCTCTTGAGTCCTTGAATTACGTTTCTGACTAGGTTGATATAATCCGGATTCAACTTCAGCTATTAACTTATCGCCTTTAACTTTCATTTCCTCAGCCACTTCTAAAAACTTGTAGGGCGTTTTACGAAAGCCAACAAGCTGAGGAATGTTCATCGACAGTTTTTTATTAGGGGTCTTTACTTCAGGAAGCTCAGCCTCGTTTCTATGATATGATTGCTGGGTTTTGATTTGTTCAGGTACTGCAGTTAGCTTTTTCGAGGTAGTTGGAACATCATATGGAATATCCATTGGCTGCCATTCACTAAATGCGATCCCATGAAGAATCACGTCGTCGTTTGATTGACTTAGTTGTTCTGTAGTTTTAAACTGTGCTATGAATATGGCTCCTTTGCTTTCCATTTCTTCAGTGATTTCAATTGGCTTGTTTGAGGCTGTTCGAAAGCCAACAAATTCTTCTGACACCTTCGGCTCATCGCTATCTGGTTCATATTTCTGCTGATGTGTTTCATCTTCTTTAAAGTCAGCCAGTAACTTGGCAGCTCGATCTTGCATTTCTTTGGAAACCTCAATTTTTTTGTTGGACGCTGTTCGAAATCCATCAAATTCGGGAATCTCCAATGGTTGCCAGTCGTCAAGTTGGATTTCTTGCAGGAACTGCGTGTCATCAACGTCCTGGGAGGTACTTTTATCAACAGTATCCTTAGGAATTTTTTGAGAAATTACTTCGCTTGGACCTAACTTTACAATTTCTTTGGTTTCTTGAATTGACTCTTCAGGGATATCCATTGGAGTTTGCCATTCGCTGATTGGTATGTCATCTAATATAAGGGTGTCTGCATTTTCTTCCTTTACATCTTCCGTTTCCGTTTTAATTTGATTTGTCAAAGTGGCCTTTGGTTTAGAATCCTCACCATCTAATGCCATCTTTTCTGTGTTGTAGTGTTCCATGAAGGAATCTGCGTCAGACCAATCGTCGCACACTTTTATATCTGTAAGGGAAGGTGGGTTTTAATTGACTTTTTCTTATAGGTAATGTTTTGTTATTTTACCATGTTGAGAGTGCACGATTGTGGTAGTTGTTCTACTATCGCCAAATAGAGTGTCAGCCAAGAGTCCTGAAACTAAAGTTTAGAATTATGAATGCTTTTTGTAAAGTTTAATTAAATTTCCTACCTTGAGGCTTAATATCACAGTTTTGAGTTGCTTCAAAAGTGAAGCCGATCTCGAGAAGGTCATTTTTTAGGTTGATTAATTCAGTATGCTTACACTCCGCAGATGAATCCTTATTTGAAAAATTGTTGCTGTGTTCCCGGGAACACGATGGTTTCTCTGAATCTCGCCGTGCCTTAGGAGGAAGATCTATCCCTGATTGGACAGCAGGTGTTTGAGCATTATTGGGATTAAGACTGGTGTTGCTTAGGGAAAAGTATTGACTTAGATTTTGGAGGTTCTCATGTATCTTCTGCGAAGTATTGGCATCCAAGTTGCACACGGCGGCTGTTAAAGAGGCATTATTGAGATCCTCCTGCACGGAGAGATCTGAGGAGCAGCTCAGCCGATCCTCCTCATCGTTTTCTACGGCCACAGGCAAATCCTCCATGTGGGAAACCCTTCTCCTACTGTAGCATCTAATCCTTTTCTTGCGAAATCTAAACCATGGCGGGGATTCGCAGGTGGGAACATTTTCCTCCTCCTCGTAGGTAGGGGATGAGCAGAAATCTTTCAGGATCATCTGGACGATTTTCTCTCCGGGCGTGGGATCGGATTGGGTGGGCAGGAGGTCCTGCAAGCAGACGAATTCACTGGTGGCAGGCACTACCCGATCTTGTCTTTGCATTCGCTGGGCATGCAAACTGTCCTGACGATCGGCATTATATATATTGGCCAATTCGTCGGCCGGAAATCTCTGATTTCTTGATTTATCTGCCGTTGGATTTCCATATTTACAAGTTTCTCTGCTTCGGATACGTTGCGTGGATGTGGAGGCATTATCCTCCCGAGTCCCAGGACTCGCTGGTATCGAATCCAGGTCCATAATCTCCCAAAATTAGTTATATTATTGCATTTAAAGTAAACAAGTGTCCAACGTTATTGTGGTTGCAGTTCGATAGGCAGACAGGCGCCCCAATCGATATATTAGAGAGGAGACGGCGCAGCCAAAATAAAATGTGACTGCTTTGCGAAAACCATTGATGTTTTAATTTATAATTTATGTTCCGGTCTAATCTGACTTGGAATGTAACAGTAATTAATTTTCTTTTATTATTCTTAAAATCTATCGATTGAAAACATCGATGCATGAAGCAGTGCAAAAATCATCGATGTAATCGATAGTGCCATCGATTTTGTTTCCAGCTCTAGCTCTTGCAAGAAGCGACAATTTTTGCATATAATACAATTAAATAATAAAGGGCGACCGTCGAGGCTGCGAAACCTGGTTTTTATACTGCTCCAATTGCTGAAGAATCTAGTTTAGGTGCCACCCACGAAAACCAGAAAGTGATAACGCAAAAACTACAAACGGAGCTCCCAAAAGAAAAAAACGCAGCGACGGCCCAAAAGTGAAAGCCCCCAGAAAAAGTACAAAAGAGCGAAAGAGCAAGAGCAAGAGCGAGAGCGAGAGAACGGTGAAAAGAGTCTGGGCGAGAGAAAAACGATTTTTTCAGAGAACACCGCGATTTTTTGGTCATATTTTGTGTGCAATTGCAAGACCTGGTAAGTGCTTACATTTCATCGGATCAGATTGGAAATAATGAGTCCCAATCGGAACCCGCCGCAATTAGGTAGTGCGAGGAGCCGACAAGGAACAGGACCGGAACACACAGACAGCCTTCAAGATTCTCGGGCACTTCTACAGCGGCGTACAGATCCAGAGCCAGAGCCACGGCCACCAGAACGCAGAAGCCACCGTTACCTACAGCACCAACAGCACTCCACTAGCCGCCACCACGCTCCACCACAAACAGCCAGCAGCCATCATGTTCGTCAACTCGATGACGTTCCGCGGCAATCCGGCGAACTACCACCAGCAGCAGCCGGCTCTGAACCACCACACGCTGGCCGCGGCGCACCACCAGCAGCAGCTGCACCACCATGCCGCCGCCGCCGGTCACCTGGGCCACGTCGGCGGCGGACATGCGGCCAGCAATCACCTGGCGGCTGCCGCCGTCCTTGGCCGACATGGCGGCCACAACTCCCTGGGCAGCGGGCACACGTCCAGCTCCTCGCATTCGACCAATGTCGGTGTGGGCGTGGGCGTGGGTGGAGGTGCCCTGGCCAGCGGCTCCACCGGCGGCGGCAGCGGTGGCAACAGCTCCCCGGACAGTGGCAAGATCTACATCAAAAATCTGGAGCGATCCATCGACAACAAGGCGGTGTACGACACGTTCTCCGTGTTCGGTAACATCCTCAACTGCAATGTGGCCAAGGACGAGGATGGCAACTCGCGCGGCTATGGGTTTGTGCATTTCGACTCGGAGGAGGCCGCCCGGGCGGCCATCGAGAAGGTGAACGGGATGCTGTGCAATAACCAGAAGGTGCACGTGGTCAAGTTCATACCACGGCGGGACCGGGAGCAGGAGAAGGCCACGCACTTCAAGAACCTGTACGTGAAGAACCTCAGCGAGGAGTTCACCGAGCAGCATTTGCGTGAAATGTTCGAGCCCTACGGCCGCATCACCAGTCACAAGGTACGTTGTTTTTGGTTGTTTTTGCTTCTGGTTACCTTTTTTGACCAGCGGGGGTGTGAGTTGAGCCGGGTGGTTGGACGACAACCATGTGGCACAGTTTCTCACGCTCTTAAATCCGCTCTTGCCACATTGCTGCGCATGCCCATGGAGTTGGGGGGCAGTTACACTGGGCGGCCCATCTGTTCAGATTTCAGATTTGTTTATATCATCGATTTGATCCGATCTCCGATCCTTGCAGCTCATGTTGGACGAGGAGGGGCGCTCGCGGCGCTTCGGTTTCGTGGCTTTCGAGAATCCACAGTCGGCGCTGGCCGCCGTGATTGGCCTGCATGGCAAGCAGCTGGGCGACAACAAGTTCTTGTACGTGGCAAGAGCTTTGAGCAAGGCCGAGCGGCAGCAGGAGATCAATCGCAAGCTGGAGGAACGCAAGCGTCAGAAGGCCGGCCAGATATTCTACTACTAAGAAGGCGGCGGCGGCGGAGGCAGCTGATCCAAGGACATCGCTAGGAGTTGACTCAGACCCATACACACATACAATATACACCCATATATAAACCTATATAGTTATTTACGAGAAATTGTATCGAGCAGCTGAGCGAAAAATCAGGCAGCGGGCAGGATGCTACTCCTGCATATTTACATTTAGAAGTAGGCAAAAAGTGTTGCAACACAGTTGAAATTTATAGAAACACACACACAAACACACACACACAGGATCATAGACAGAAAAAGAGAAGCATTACACGGAACTCTCAATCGAAAGGATTCTCTAGGCATTAGGACAAAAGTTTCTTAGCACTCACTAGCGTTTTTTTGGACTTAGATGTTTGTCTTTACTGTTGAATTTAGTGAGCAGAGGCTTCGCTGTCAGCTTCTCGCCTAAAGAACACATTGCGTACACGTATTTCGAATTGTATTTACCCACACCAGGCCCACGTTCACACAGGCCCGCCCTTTGGCATTAAGTCTAGATCGCGCGATCGCAGCTAGAGCTACGCCCAGCCGAGTCCTGGGCAACATATGAATATTTACACATACCTATTATATATTAAAACAAAACTAAAGCTACAAAACAAAAAAAAAAAAAAATCAAACAAAAACACAAAAAAACAAAAATGGAAAAATGGAAAAAAATACAATTGATGTAACCCCTATTAACAATTGAAGCACTCACTCTACGTATATACATAAACATATATATTTAACGTAAAACCCATTACACGCTGTAGTTAAAAGGCGTTTATAATACTCACACACTCTACGCTATAACTAATACTTTTGACGAGGAAATCAAGTGCAACCATTGCGAAAGCGAACCCTACACGTAATTTATATAGTAGACGCAAATGCGGAGGAAGGAAAGAATAAATCGAAGCTGAACAGAAAAATAATTAGTAGGAGGGCCCAGAGCCGCTCCTGCGGACAGTATATGAGTATTAAAATTTTAGCAATTACAAGACATTTTTGTAATTAATTGTACATTGTTTCAAGTAGCAACAAACGAAAATGAAACCACAAAACAGGACCGCAAAGACAGCCGTAATGTAGCGACAAAACAAACAAATAAACAAAAAACAAAAGAAAAACTAATTGAATATAACCAATCCAAGGAGTGTACACAATGCAATGTTTAAAATCTTTTAGAATATTATTACGGATACAAGGCACGAAATAAAACCCTAAAAATGGAAAAATCACTTTGAAGGCAGGCGTGTATACAAGTTCGGCCCATGGCAAATTAAACCGAAATAAAAGCAAATACATACATAATTTAAGGTTATTGAGCTTAATTTTTAACATGTTTCCAAGAACAGAAAACGAAAGTAAAGAGAAAAACAAAAATATTAAGAAAACCCAAAAACCAAACAATGCTAAACTCACTCAAAATTTGTAAGATTCAAGTTTTGTGTCTAGACATACACACAATGTATAGTTAAAACAGTACCACAAAAGAACAAAAAATGAAATTACATAAAAATAGTTATAAATGATGGCAATATTTAGGATGGCATAATTAATGTAACCCTCATTTGACAATATTTATTTTCCATTACATTTCATTTCGAGCTTAGGTTGCTCGCTCCCTTTGATCTTAAGTTTTTTTTGCCTAGGGAGCGACCGATATTACGATTCTAGTTTTCAGGACAAAAGTAGGATTAGGCCTCCACACTCTAACTCACACAGAACATATGCAATATGAATTTACAAGACAAACAAACAAAAGAAAATTATGCAATTGAATAATATTTACACAAATGTACAAAACAAAAAAGTAAGAAAGAAAATGAAATTTATTTTCCTTTGCCAAGCAAATGCGACATACTTCTTATTATTATTAGAAATTATAATTGTAATTGAAACTTAATTTTTTTGGTAATTGCTTTTGCAGAATTTACCTAAAAACAAAATAAACGACAAACAAAAAGAAAATGAAAAAAATCCAAAGGAAAACCCTTTTATAGTGCTAAATTTTTAGAGAGTACAAGAAATGTTAATTCAGTCTTACAAAATTAATTGATAAACACAACACACAAGAAACGAATTCCATTTCGAACCCGCAACACAAACACAAATGAACTCGATTTTGCACCATTTGCTAAATGAGACATAACACCTGCATTCGATTCTACTCACGAGAACCTAGTTTTTATTTACATTTTTACATTTTTTGCTTGGACTGGGGTGTGTGTGCCCCCTCGAAAGTCCCCTTTTAATGACTAGCGAACCCCACACGCGAAGCACAGATAATACTGACACAGATGGCGTATAATATATGCATTATATATGTAATTCCATTGAAACGAAAATCCTAATTATAACATATTACAAATACCTACTTATTAACAAACCTAAAAAACAAAAAAACCAAGCGAAAATGAACAAGAAAAAGGAAAACATTTAATGATGAAAATCAAGATGCAGTGAGCAGAGACATGTGAAACTTGAATAAAAATGCTTTTGCAAAAAGTGTTTGAAATTGCGACTTCTGGCTTGTATTTATTTATACATTTATTGATAGAGTTTAAATTTAAATACTTTTATTGTAGCTAATGCAAAATAGTTTAAAATTAGATTCTTCGCTGCCACTTGAAGTAAAGTTTTTCAAGAAGCAGTACCAACAGACTGACTATAGTTCCACCAATGTAAGCAATCCACACGTAGTACAGATCCTTCCAGATAAGATCGTGATAGCCACCATCTGAATAATCTACACTGTAGTTCAGTTCGCCCACAGCCATTAGTTCGTTAAAGGATCTCCTGAACCACAAATTGTACAATCCACTGTCGAGTGTGTGACTGAGATATCTGTTGAAGGCGTCACGATATATTGAATTTCTAGCCATCGGCATTGTTACTGGCATAAACGGCATGAAGCTTATTTCGTTGGATTTTCGAAAGACTGGTCGCCGCATTCTAATCTGTTTCAGTTGGAGAAGGGGCCACAAAGTACTGGTTACAGGATAGCCAAAGGAGGTGTTCAGCTCGTTCCTTTTGGCCAGAAACTCCACGAAGGAGGGCGTTATCTCAAAGATGTCTAGGTTTTCTGCCAGAAGTTCTTTACCAATCGATACATTGAGGGTGGACAGTTCCTGCTGGGAGACTAAGATCTTTCCATGGGTTCTTCTTAAATCGTTGTAGCTTAGTATCCTGTAAGCAGCTGGCGGATTAACGAGTAGAGTTGCTAGATTGACACTATAGAAAGTACTAACTATTAGACCTGCCATCATCAGCAGGCTGTACAGCAGAGTTCTACTCAATGATAGTCTATGCGGCATGACGAAGGACTGCGCCAGGATGGCTCTCAGAACATGATCCCCAAAGATGTCACCGCATCGCAGCGTAAGGCGTCCTTCGCCCGCCTCCAAACCACGGGCATTGGCCAGCAGTAGGGCCAAGATGATCATCAGACCCAAGAAATATCGCCATCCCTTGAGGTTGAAGTACAGACTGGAGAGTGGCATGTCGGGCTCCACGGGCAGCATTAGAAACCAACTGATTATCTCGCTCACATAGCTGGGGTAAAAGGGTTCCGGAGCAAGTGTGGTCAGGACTAGGGGAAAGTCCACCAGACCATCGCGAAGCAACGCGGAAATGACATTCTGACTGGGAGTTTCGTTTTCCGGAACCAGATCCCAACGCACCCGAAGAGAAGTGTTCAGACTGCTGGCAAAGTTTCTGTAGAAATGGGTTAGGTAACCAGTCATCTGGCGACGTCCCTCTTTATCGCGATAAATCACAGATCGGGGCAGCATGTTGTAGGCAATGGTGGATATAGGATAACCTTGAAGGTCCTTTACTTGGGGTTCAAAGAACCTACCCACTTGACTTGTTTTTCGCATAACCAGTTTAAAGCAGGGAAAAGCACTATAGCTATACACTAACTCCCGATTCGAGACACTCAAAGCTATAACATTAAGCATCTGATACGAATGACATTTCTCAAACAAACTGCTTATATTGGTTTCCAGTCGAACCATGAATAATACTGGAGTTCCCCGCATATCCATTAGATTTTCACACAGGGCCATCAATATGCGCTCCTCCGCAGAATCCAGACAAACTAAAGCTAGTATTTTTTTGTTAACTTGACCCTTAAGGTAGTTGCTTTGATTAGCATCGAAGTTAAGAACGGGAACCTCGTCATCAAAGTCTTTTTGATTCCAACAACTATCACTTTGACTTAAAAGAAGAATAGTCTCATAATACACCTGTTCCTTAACTGTTTTTAATATGTTATTTAACGAAACATTCTGTGCATCTACCAAACTGGCTAATATAAAGTACACAGCAAGACGCATTTTTAAAAACGACTGCTCAACACGATTTGGTCAAATAAACTGAAACTTGACCGAGCTTTCAGCTAGGCTAAGGGTTATTAAGATAAAATCAGTTATCCATCCATCAGCCAAGCAAATGGAAATCAATAAAAATTTTAAATGTCACAGTTTTTAATTGCAAATAGATGACAATATAAAGACACCTTAAGCACAAATAAGAAAGCAAACTGCATATGAAAGAATTAACATTTATTTGTTTGTTGGTAAATAAGTAAATCATTTATTCTAAAAGATTAACATATATTAGTTTAAATAGTATTCAATAACAATAATATTTGGTTTTTTCTTCAAATGACATCTGGAGTATCCAATCTCACCTAGAAATACTAGAAAACTTATGAGACCCCCCATATCGGTAAGCCAAACAAAACTTAAGTCCTGCCATTCGAAATCACTATAGTCTTGATAATCCTTGTCTGTATTGCAGTTAATTTTACGAAGGGCAATCAGTTCGTGGAAGCTCCGTCTGAACCAGAAATCGTACAGTCCGCTTTGCTTTGTGAGTGCCCTAAAAACAAAATAAACGACAAACAAAAAGAAAATGAAAATGAAAAAGAAAAAAATCCAAATGAGAACCCTTTTAATAGTGTTAAATTTTTAGAGAGTACAAGAAATGTTAATTCAGTTTTACAAAATTAATTGATAAACTCAACACACAAGAAGCGAATTCCATTTCGAACCCGCAACACAAACACAAATTAACTCGATTTTGCACCATTTGCTAAATGAGACATAACACCTGCATTCGATTCTACTCACGAGAACCTAGTTTTTATTTACATTTTTACATTTTTTGCTTGGACTGGGGTGTGTGTGCCCCCTCGAAAGTCCCCTTTTAATGACTAGCGAACCCCACACGCGAAGCACAGATAATACTGACACAGATGGCGTATAATATATGCATTATATATGTAATTCCATTGAAACGAAAATCCTAATTATAACATATTACAAATACCTACTTATTAACAAACCTAAAAAACAAAAAAACCAAGCGAAAATGAACAAGAAAAAGGAAAACATTTAATGATGAAAATCAAGATGCAGTGAGCAGAGACATGTGAAACTTGAATAAAAATGCTTTTGCAAAAAGTGTTTGAAATTGCGACTTCTGGCTTGTATTTATTTATACAATTGATAGCTAATGCAAAATAGCTTAAAATTAGATCCTTCGCTGCCACTTGAAGTAAAGTGTTTCAAGAAGCAGTACCAACAGACTGACTATAGTTCCACCAATGTAAGCAATCCACACGTAGTACAGATCCTTCCAGATGAGATCGTGATAGCCACCATCTGAATGATCTACACTGTAGTTCAGTTTGCCCACGGCCATTAGTTCGTTAAAGGATCTCCTGAACCACAAATTGTACAATCCACTGTCGAGTGTGTGACTGAGATATCTGTTGAAGGCGTCACGATATATTGAATTTCTAGCCATCGGCATTGTTACTGGCATAAACGGCATGAAGCTTATTTCGTTGGATTTTCGAAAGACTGGTCGCCGCATTCTAATCTGTTTCAGTTGGAGAAGGGGCCACAAAATATTGGTTACAGGATAGCCAAAGGAGGTGTTCAGCTCATTCCTTTTGGCCAGAAACTCCACTAAGGAGGGGGTTATCTCAAAGATGTCTAGGTTTTCTGCCAGAAGTTCTTTACCCATCGATTCATTGAGGGTGGGCAGTTCCTGCTGGGAGATTAAGATCTTTACATGGGTTCTTCTCAAATCGTTGTAGCTTAGTATCCTGTAAGCAGCTGGCGGATTGACGAGTAGAGTTGCTAGATTGACACTATAGAAAGTACTAACTATTAGACCTGCCATCATCAGCAGGCTGTACAGCAGAGTTCTACTCAATGATAGTCTATGCGGCATGACGAAGGACTGCGCCAGGATGGCTCTCAGAACATGATCCCCAAAGATGTCACCGCATCGCAGCGTAAGGAGTCCTTCGCCCGCCTCCAAACGATGGGCATTGGCCAGCAGTAAGGCCAAGATGATCATCAGACCCAGGAAGTATCGCCATCCTTTGAGGTTGAAGTACAGACTGGAGAGTGGCATGTCGGGCTCCACGGGCAGCATCAGAAACCAACTGGTTATCTCGCCCACATAGCTGGGGTAAAAGGGTTCCGGAGCAAGTGTGGTCAGGACTAGGGGAAAGTCCACCAGACCATCGCGAAGCAACGCGGAAGTGACATTCTGACTGGGAGCTTCGTTTTCCGGAACCAGATCCCAACGCACCCGAAGAGAAGTGTTCAGACTGCTGGCAAAGTTCCTGTAGAAATGGGTTAGGTAACCAGTCATCTGGCGACGTCCCTCTTTATCGCGATAAATCACAGATCGGGGCAGCATGTTGTAGGGAATGGTTGCTATAGGATAACCTTGGAGATCCTTTACTTGGGGTTCAAAGAACCTAACCACTTGACTTGTATTTCGCATTACCAGTTTAAAGCAGGGAAAAGCACTATAGCTATACACTAACTCCCGATTCGAGACACTCAAAGCTAGGACATTTAGCATCTGATACGAATGACATTTCTCAAACAAACTGCTTATATTGGTTTCCAGTCGAACCATGAATAATACTGGAGTTCCCCGCATATCCATTAGATTTTCACACAGGGCCATCAATATGCGCTCCTCCGCAGAATCCAGACAAACTAAAGCTAGTATTTTTTTATTAACTTGACCCTTAAGGTAGTTGCTTTGATTAGCGTTAAAGTTCAAGTAGGCAGAACTCAGATCAAAGTCACTTTGCTGCCAACAGGCTTCAGTATTTTCTCCACCACTAATTAAAAGTATGGACCGATATGCTAGCTCCAGTTTTAAGGAATCAAGAATGTTAGACAAGAAAACGTTATGGGCATAAACTATACTGTATGCTAATATAATATAGCACCTGATGTTAAACCGCATTTTTTGGGTTTACTCTTCTAAGGCTTTTCGCTAAATAATCAAAATTAAAGTAGACTTCACGTTTATTACGGGTTCGAACAAACCGCTTTTATAGGCCTAATAACTAATGACAATCAATCAATATATTTCAATGACAGGCAATTTTTTTAAATCCATAACCCTAAACCCATAAAATTGACAGAGCGATTAAGGTTTATTTGTGGTTACTAATTTTTGCTTAATGTTAATAATAATAAGAAATTATCCTTTAGTTGGGAGTCTTCTTCACACTCCACTTGTGGTATAACAGCTCCATGATAAAGACTAGGAAACTTACGCTGGTTTCCACCACGTAGGCTATCCATACAAAGTAAAAGTCATTCCACTTAAGATCGCAGTACAATCCATGATTTCTGTCTTCTTTGTAGGATATTTTTCCGATGGCCACCAATTCGTAGAAGCTACGTCTGAACCAAAGCCTATATAGTCCGCTATCATGAGTGAGTGCGGTGTATCGTTTTAGAGACTTGTAAAACACTGAGTTCCTTGGCATCGGCAAATTAAAGACTAAAAACGGCGCAAAAACCATCTCTCGGGATCGGCGGAATATGGGTCGACTTAGCCTAACTTGTGACTGCTCCAATTGTGGCCACAAGGTAGTGGACACTGGGTAGGCATAGTTCTCATCCAATAACAAGCGCTTCTTTTGAAAGTCCTTCGAAGTGGTGGTGTGGAATATATCGCTGTGGGCATCGAAAAGTTCCGACCCCATAGAACTTCTTAAGTAATTCAACTCTCTTGACATTACAAGGACCTTCATCTTTCGGCGGCGCATTTCATCCCAGTCCATGATTGGATCAGCTGCCGGTGGATGAACGAGCCAGGTTTCCAGATTGGCCGTGTGGTAGTTGCTCACAAAGAATCCATGAAGCAGGATAATCCAGTAAATAATCATCAGCTTAACGGAGAGTCCTTTGGGTAATAGAAATGGTTGTGTCAGTGTTCCCTGCAGTACTTTACATCCCACTACGTAAAATCGCCAGGTGGGACTAAGATCCAATTCTATGCGATGGGCATTACTAAGCACAATTGATAGCAGTAGCGCTAAAGGTATAAAATTGTGAAAACCAAATTTAACGAAGAAACGAGCTCGGGGCAGGCGTGGTTCCATAGGCAGGATCAAAAACCAGCTGGATACCTCCATGGGAACGACTTGTTTTAATGTATTTTGGCTAAGAATACTTGTGACGAGCGGAAAATCCACATCATACATCTCCGAGAGCTTAGTAGCATCCATCAAATGGGTTATACCTTCCTCCGGAACCAGGTCCCAGCTAACTTTGAGAGTTGCATTGAGGGTGCTCACATAGTTCCGGATAAAGCGGCTAAGGTACCCGCCCAACTGACGAGTTCCATCGGCAGTTCGGTAGACCACGGTCCTCGGCATTATGTTGTCCGGTAGTGTCCTTAGGGCATAGCCCCCAAGATCCTTAAGCTGTTGCTGGAAGTATCTCAGTCCTTCCTTTACCTTTCGTCTTATGACCTTTAATTTGGGGAATGCCTGAAAGCTGTAGATGAACTTCGTATCTGAGCCCTTAAAGGCCAACACATTTAGCATATTTTCACTGAAACACTCCAAAAACATACTACGTATGTGGTCATAAGAAGATGCAAACAATATGGTGGGCGTATCTCGCATATCTTGAAGATTGCTATAGATTGCTCTCATTAAATCATTTTTCTTTTCCTTTAAGCAAACAAGTACCAGAATTTTTGAATTTAAGATGTCTTTTAAATAAAAACTTTGATTCGCATCGAAGTTAAGAACGGGAACCTCGTCTTCAAAATTTTTTTGATTCCAACATCTATCACCTTGACTTAAAAGAAGAATAGTCTCATAATAAACCTGTTCCTTAACCGTTTTCAATATGTTATTCAACGAAACATTCTGTGCATCTACCAAACTGGCTAATATAAAGTACATAGCAAGACGCATCTTAAATAACGACTGCTCAACACGATTTGGTCAAATAAACTGAAACTTGAGCTTTCAGCTAGGCTAAGGGTTATTAAGATAAAATCAGTTATCCATCCATCAGTCAAGCAAATGGAAATCAATACAAATTTAAAATGTCACAGTTTTTAATTAAAAATAGATGACAATACACAATGCATATGAAAGGTTTAACATTTATTTGTTTGTAGGTAACAGGGAGTTACGGCCATTTAAATGAAATAAGTAAAACATTATTTCTAAATGATTAACTTACATTAGTTTAAATAGTATTCAATAACAATAATGTTTGGTTTTTTCTTCAAATGACATCTGGAGTATCCAATCTCACCTAGAAATACTAGAAAACTTATGAGAGTACCCCCCATATAGGTAAGCCAAACAAAACTTAAGTCCTGCCATTCGAAATCACTATAGATTTGATAATCCTTATCTGTTTTGCAGTTAATTTTTCGAAGGGCAATCAGCTCGTGGAAGCTCCGTCTGAACCAAAAATCGTACAGTCCGCTTTGCTTTGTGAGTGCCCTATATCGATTCAGTGACTTGTGAAAAACCGAGTTTTTCGGCAGTGGCATGGCCATCATCAAAAATGGTATAAGCTCTAGCTCCCGAGATCGACGAAAGATGGGTTTCAGAAGTTTGACCTGAGCTTGCTGCAAAAGTGGCCACAATGCGCGAGTTACGGGATAAGCGTATGATTGGTTCATAAATAAGCGCTTGTTTTGGAAATCTTCCGAGTTTGTTAATTTAAAAACATTGCTATTGTCATCTACAAACTCCTTGCCAAGGGCTTCTGTCAGGCTATACAATTCGGTAGGCACAATAAGGACTTTCTTGTTGAGGCTGCGCATTTGATTCCAGCTTCGGATTGGATGACCTGTCGGTGGATCTACAAGCCAGGTTTCCAGACTGGCCGTATAGAAGTTACTCACAAAGAATCCGTTCAGCAGGAGCAACCAGTAAATGAACATCATCTTGGCGGAGAGTCCCCGGGGTAGGATAAATGCTTGTGCCAGGATTCCACGCATGACTTTATCTCCCAGGACGTAGCAACGCCAGCTAGGACTTAAACCCACTTCTATGCGATGGGCATTGAATAGTACCATAGCCACTAGTATCAATAGCGGTATAGCCCTCTCTAAGCCCAAGGCAATGAAGAAATGAGCTCTGGGCATGCCGGGTTCCATGGGTAACATCAGGAACCAGCTAGAGGTTTCCATTTGGACATTTTGTCTGGTCGACCCATGCTCGATTCCGTGAATGCCCAGCGGAAAGTCCACGCCATTGTTCTCCGAAAGTCTGACTACTTCCGGAAGTTGGGTCATGCCCTGCTCCGGAACCAAATCCCAGCAGATTTTGAGTTGTGCATTCAGGGTGCTCGCATAGTTCCGGATGAAGGGGTGGAGGTATCCAGCCAACTGGCGATTTCCATCGTAGTTCCTGTAGACCACAGTTCGAGGTATGATGTTGTCGGGCAGTGCCTTTAGGGTATAGCCTCCCAGATTCTCAAGTTGCGGCTCGAAATATCTACGAACTTCCGTTAGACGTCTTTTAATTAAATGAAACCTTGGGTAAGCCTGGTAGCTGTAGATAAACTCCCTATCTAAGCCTTTAAAAGCAACCACGTTGAGCATTTTTTTTCTGAAGCACTCCAGTAGTAAATCCCTTATTTCGTAGTCCGAAAGAACGAATAATACGGTGGGTGTATCGCGCATATCATCCAGATTTCTATATAGAGCCAGCATGGTTTTTCCATCATTGTTGTCCAAGCAAACTAGAACAAGTATGTTTGTGTTTAATGTATCTTTCAGATACAAACTTTGATTAGCATTGAAGCTTAAGACAGGAACATCTTCGTGAATGTTTTTTTGTTTCCAACATGAATCACTTTGAGATGAAGATTTTAAAAGAATTATTGACTCATAAAACAGCTCCTCTTCAAGAGATTTTAAGATGTATTTTAAGGATAGACTCTGTGTGCCTATCAATCCAATGACAGCTATCAGGTACAATGTTAGCCTCATTTTCAAGTTAACTGCTCTAAAGGACTGGATACGAGAAACTGCAACATTCAGAATGTATTCCTAGTTATGTGGGATAATTAAAGAAAAACATTCAAGTAACCAGAACCAGTAAACAACAAAACAATGACAATTCAAATGTCATAGGTTTTAATTGGACTTGATATCAACATAAAGTGCATTTATGGTTTGTTTTGGTTACGGAAATGCCTTAGATGCTTAACACCACTTAAATAAATAGCTACCGGGTTTCGTAAGCAAATAAAAATGGGTAATACATAATAAAAAATTAAACTTAAGATTTATGGTTTAAAACTTTTGCCGTTATTTATTAATTCTCTTAAAATCTAAGAAAATCCTGTTCATATTTTTCAAATTAGAGGCTTTTTAAAAAACGTTTTATAATTTTTTTTTATTTTCTGTGTAAAATTTTTTTAAATAAATAAATCAATTTTTGAATTTCCCCAAATGAAAAGTCAAGTCCAAGGCGAAGTTACATGAATCACCCTATGTGTGGGATTTTTCAAGATTCGCAGCGCAGTCACACTAATAGCAAACGTGAAAAAGTAAGAAAACAGACGGTTTAGTTATTATCATTTACCAGGCACTAAAGCGTTCTACTAATGGATTATATATAAACGGTACAGAGCGCATGGCGTAATCAGCTGCTAAATGATTTACCGGTTGACAATTGCATGAAATGCGAAAATATTTCGTAAATTTCTAGTGTAGTTGTGTAATTTGATTTGAAAGAGTTCGAGGCAAAAACAAAAACAAAAAGCTATATCGCGCGATATTGCGTAGATGACGTAGCTTCTTGCGTGTGTGTGTGTGTGCTAACTTTTACGTTTATACATCAAAAAACAATGTGATTTAATCAATTTATTGACTTTTAAACCAAATCCACAGTAGGCTAACAGCAGAAATTTCCGCCTTTTATTTACATTATTTTCTATTAGACGAAAATCGTGGAAAGGAAACCGTTACATTGCCCCAACGAAAGAGGAAGAGGCAGAAAGAAAGATAAACGATAGGCTAAAATCTACGCCAGGAAACTAAAACAAAAGAGGATATAAAACCGAGCGACAGAGAAACCAAAAATACACAATCTCCAGACAGTTTGTCGGAAATTCAAAATTAAAATTGAAAATTCTTTGGAATCGGATTGGCAGCCGAGTCGAGCCACGCCCACCACCGCCCCTCGTCGTCGCCATGAACGCCCTGCTACGTTACAAGGGACGCAATCTGCGAACGAGTCATTTGGCCCAGAATGTCTACAAGCGCTGTAAGTTGGCCAAAACAAAGAAAACAAAACGCAAATCCCGAAAACTTTCCATTGATTTTGCCCCTTTGGCGTCTGTGTGTGTGTGTGTGTGTGCGCCACTTATCCAGTGTTTTGTTTTGACTGCACTTTCGCTGGAACGCAACAGCTGACTGACTGGAAACTACGACGTGCGCTGAAAAGTCTATAGTGGAGGGATATGAGCAGTGGCGTAGCCAAATATTGTTTTAGGAGGATCCGAATATTTTTGTTATTATCAAAATAACAACAAAATGATTCTAGATTCATACAATCTTAACCGGTTTTCAAACTATTATACCTCTTTAAGATACGCCACTGCTTTAACGTTTTTGCAGCTTACCTGTAAATTAAATTACTCACTTTGTTGACTTTGAATCGCGACATCTAATAATCTAATCTTTTGGTCAATATATAATACATACTTGCAAAGAGGAAAACTTCATGATTTTAGCATTTAAAAATTCCACTTTGATAAAATTAAATATATTTTAAGCAAATAATTCCAGTTTATCAAGACTGGAGACCAAAAGATTTATGTTTTAAATTACAAAGAATTTGTTTTATTCAACTTTGATTAAGTTAATTTTGTTGTTTCCTTTGATATCACAATAATCTTGCTGAATTAATAACCAACTAGCTGTCAGTTCAGGACCGCTCCCAACCAATATTTAAACAATTCTTGTAAATCTTTTCCCTCTACATGTCACTCACAAATTTGGCATTATTTGCGAGACAAATTTAGCATTTCTAAAAAATACCTTAACAAGGAGCAGGTGCCAACGACAGGTACCAGAAATCGCCAGACAAATAGGCACCTGTGGAAAAGTACAGCCACAGTTCAGTGCAAAAACTATTAGACCTGAAAACAAGCCCGAAATCGTTGAAGAGACCTGAAAATGGGTCAGCAAACGCCTTCACTTTCTCCGCCACAGTTCCTTTTTCATATTCCTTCTTTTTTTTCACTCAACCGCACATTCATTTACCTTGAGCAATTGCCAAGAATCGGAAAATCAAGTGAGAGAAAAGAAAAGAAAAAGGAAAAGTGCGCTGTAAACAATTGCACTCGCCGCACATTGCTAAATGTTTGCTACATCGTTTATTTATAGAGATAGAGATTCGCCATGTTTGTGTGAATTTGGGTTCGTTTTTTGGTGATTTATGTAAGTTCTCCACTCCAGGTGCTAATTTTCGCCTGTCGCCAGCGATCTTTGATTTTTCTATTATCAACTCGTTGCTTCTACTCCAAATCCCTACAGAAATCCGTAATCAAGGGGTAAAACGCTTATCAAGTGCAAACTTTTCTTGTTTTTTGTTCGTGGTGATTAATAACTTATTGTGTGCTTTTATTTTCATTCTTCGTTTCTCGTTTTTCGCCGGGTGTTTAAGATTATTGAACTGATTTCATACTTTTTTAGAAAGAAAGGAAATGTGTTTCGGAAAAGTCTTTTGTCACACGAACGTTATTGACTATAGATTCAGTTCATTGGCCTCACATTGCTTTTGTGCTTTGTTATGGAATTTTTCCAGGGTTTACCTACAAATCTATTAAGAGTTTGTTACTTACAAACTATGTTTATCGTATTAAATGTATAAAACACTTGGAAATGTATTATAATAAACCCAAATTCAACCTTTTGCAGATCTCAAATCCAGCTGCTGTGCCTGCAGCTCGGCTAACTTCACAGATTGCTCCGCCACAGGGGGTGAGCGGCACCGGAGATCTGCGTCGACATCGGTGCTAGAGATTGGCAGATCGCTGGCCGACAACCACCGGAGGTTCCAGCCACACGCCAGCTATGGGTATCACTATTCGGGCCACGGATTTAGGCATCTGCACGCCAGCCGGACGATGCTGGAGACGTCCAGTTCGAAGATCGATGCGACCGTCAAGAAGCTGAAGAACCAGCAGAAGGAAAAGGTCGAGGAGATCATGAAGGAGGTGGCCAATGCTCAGGCAACAGCAGTGGGAGCTAGTTCTGCTCCCACCGCCAGTGCATCCTCGACGGAGAAGGGTCAAAGTGCAAGTGCAACGACTGGTTCCACATCGGCGACAGCCTCGTCGACCACGTCTTTGGCTACGTCCACGGACAAGACGGTGGCCAAGCCAAAGAAGCCGCTGCGCACACGCATTTGGGACGAGCTGGTGCACTACTATCACGGCTTTCGACTGCTCTTCATTGACGTGGCCATCTGCTCCAAGCTCCTCTGGCGGGTGCTCAATGGCAAGGGGCTCACGCGACGCGAAAACAAGCAGCTGCAGCGCACCACCTCGGATCTGTTCCGCCTGATCCCCTTCTCGGTGTTCATCATTGTGCCCTTCATGGAGCTGCTGCTGCCGCTGTTCATCAAGTTCTTCCCCGGCATGCTGCCCTCCACGTTCCAGACCTCGAGCGATCGGCAGGAGAAGCTGCGCCAGTCGCTGGGCGTCCGCCTGGAGGTGGCCAAGTTCTTGCAGCAGACTCTCGACCAGATGCCCGTCCAGCACAAGGAGCACAGCAGCGAGGAGGCCAAGCAGTTCGAGGCCTTCTTCAACAAGATCCGCAATCCCACAGAGCCCGTCAGCACCGACGACATCATCAAGTTTGCCAAGCGATTCGATGACGAGATCACCCTGGACTCCCTGTCGCGTGAGCAACTGGCCGCCCTGTGCCGTGTCCTAGAGCTGAACACCATTGGCACCACCACGCTGCTGCGTTTCCAGCTGCGGCTGAAGCTGCGCTCCCTGGCCACCGACGACCGGGTGATTGCCCGCGAGGGAGTCGACTCTCTGGACCTTTTGGAGCTGCAGCAGGCGTGCAAGGCGCGTGGCATGAGGGCCTATGGACTGACGGAGGAGCGCCTTCGGTTCCAGCTGAAGGAGTGGATCGATCTCTCGCTGAACGAACAGGTGCCGCCCACACTTCTGCTCCTCTCGAGGACCATGCTCATTTCCGACGACAGCATCACCACCGACAAGCTGAAGGAGACGATGCGCGTGCTGCCGGATGCAGTGGGCGCCCACACACGACACGCCATCGGCGAGAGCGAGGGCAAGGTGGACAACAAGACCAAGATCGAGATCATCAAGGAAGAGGAGCGCAAGATTCGCGAGGAGCGCGAGGAGGAGCAAGAGGAGACGATTGCCAAGCGCACGGCCATCAAGGATGAGCAGCCCGCTCCGTATGTGTTTGCTGAGAAGCTGGCTCCCAAGGAAGAGGCTTCGGTGTCCGAGACGGACAAGGGCATTTCCTCAACGGATGTCCAACTGCTGTCCGATGCCCTGAAGACGCTGTCATCTGACAAACAGCTGGTGGTGGAGAAGGAGACGATCAAGGAGCTGAAGGAGGAGCTGGCCGACTACAAGGAGGATGTCGAGGAGCTGCGGGAGGTGCGCCAGGTGGTCAAGGAGCCGGTGCGTGAGAGTCGAGCGGCCAAGCTGCTCTACAACCGGGTCAACAAGATGATCTCGCAATTGGACACAGTGCTCAACGATCTGGAGCACAGGCAGCACCAGATCAAGCAGGCCGATTCCGGCGACTATGTGAGTGCCAGTCCCACTGTGGAGCCGCAGCAAATGGTGCACATCGACGAGCTGGTCTCCACCATCCGGCGCATGAAGGAGTCCTCCGACGAAGAGCGCTTCCGGGTGGTCGAGGATCTTCTGGTCAAACTCGATGCGGACAAGGATGGAGTGATTTCGGTGCACGAGATAACCAAGGCGGTGCAGAGCATCGACCGGGAGGCCACCAATATCGACAAGAAGCAGCTGGAGGAGTTCACCGAGCTGCTCTCCAAGCTGGCAACCCGGCGGCGCCACGAGGAGATCGTGCGTATTGATGACCTGATGAGCAACATCAAGGTGCTGAAGAAAACCAGCGACGAGGCACGTCTCAAGCACATCGAAGCAGTTGTGGAGAAGTTCGATGGCGACAAAGATGGCGTGGTGACCGTCAACGATATCCGCAAGGTAATTGTACCTCCCAAATTGCAGCCAAATGCGTACTTAACCAACTAAGTTTTTGTACTGTTGACAGGTAATGGAGTCCATTGGTCGCGACAACATCAAGCTGAGCGAGAAGGCCATTGAGGAGCTGATCAGTCTGCTTGACAAGGAGCAAGAGCTGCATGCTGAGCAAAAGATTGAAAAGGCCATTGCCAAGAGCATGAAAGAGGCGGAGAAACTGAAGTCCGAGGTGGACAAAACGGACAAGGATTTGGCCAAGCTTGTGAATGACATTCACGACTCAGCCAAGGAGATTCAGGACATTGCCAATGAAATGCGTGATAGGGAGGAAACACTAGCCGACAAGGCTAAGGAGAGTAAAGCGGAGGTAACTAAGTCACTTTTAAAATATAAAACTTATATCTATTAATTTAATTTGTGCCATTTTAGCCGGCCTTCCAGGATAAGGCTAAGACTTTAAAGGACAATGCTAAGAATCTGGACGAGACGACAGCGCCGAAAGACAGCAAAAAGGATCCCAAAGCTTCGTCTGGATCTGGTCCAACGGGAAAGAGTGGCGGTGGTGGCAGCAGCAGCAGCGGTGGAGGAGGAGGTGGTGGTGGCATTGCCGTTGGCGGACCAACGACGGAATCGGCGCTCCGTGAGGCGGCCGAGCGGCAAATGGAAAAGATTCTGCCCTCCACGGACATCGGTCTGCCGCCCACGATACAAACGCCACCCAAACCACCGACGTCCAAGAAGGCAACGGCCACGGCATCCACCCTGTCCACGACGATTACGGCCAAGAAGCTGCTCTGACCGACCGACAAGTCCAAGAAGGAAGCGGACGAGACGAGTCCTAAGCGTGTAGTACCTAAGCCGAAGTGATGTGATGATTACGATGAGTAGAGAAAGGACGGAGGAGAGGTGCTGCTCGTGTGTCCCCATATTGTTCCGACTATACAAAGAATTAATTGTTACCACTTAACATAAAAATCATAAACGTAGGGAGAAACGTGAATCGAAACGAGAATGCGACTCTGTATTTAACTAAATCCGTGATCTTGGATCGGGATTAGAAGAGAGTGTGCTATACTTAACGCGTGGCTGTAGTACGGTAGCTTCTCTAAGTAAGGCACAAATCAGAAACTAATAGAAATACATAAGAATATACCCACTTAACCGATGCATCTTGATTTCTAAATTAGTTTTACAAATTCATCGCCTGATCTGGCGATTGACGACTTCACTTGGCCCATAAAACATTATTAGCTAAGCGATTGTGATCATTAAGCGAAATGTTAATTTACGATTTATACCCTTCTTTTATTAATTTGTATTTACGATGGCCACGAGATATTGAAGTTAAATTGAAACCACGTGATAGCTGTAAACAATAATGTGTGTGTGTGCTTGAATTAGCTAGCTAAAGAGAGTTTGTAAAAGTGTTTCGCAATAAAAGTTAGTACAAAAAACGATTGGCTGAGTGTAATTTACGGTCTCAAATGAGGCTTCAAAGTTTCTAAATATTTGTGAAATGATTTCCCATGCAATGCGCACAATTTCAATCTGGCATTATCAACAGATTCCCAGAAATTACTACATTGCAACCATTTGGGAATTTTAAATATCTGACTGCAGCCGAACAATTGCTCTTGGAAACCGCATTGATTGCTCAGAATTCTATTTTTGCATTGTTTATTGCCTCGGGAGCGGAATGGTGTTCCATGAAACCCAGTTTTGCCAACTGGCCGGTTGTGATTCGCAATCGAAAGCCACAAAACCCAAACTTTTATGGCCAAGTTAGTTTTGCGCCAACGAGAAGTGCAGGAGCATCATATCCTGGGCAGTAGAAGTAATAAAAAATTACCACAAAATGTTCAGAAAATTTCATCTTTGCCTGACCGCTGACCCATAAATTCTCATCATGTTCAGCAACGGCCAAGATGGTGTGGTATTCGTAAAATATTTAGAAATGCTCTCCAACAGTTTGGCAATTGCTACGGAACAAACAATGGAATATAATCAAATCAAGGCTGTTAGTTTGATCTACGATGCCCGAAAATCAAAACCAATCTGTGCTTAAATATGGGAAAACTTTCGACCAACAAAGAAATCGAAAACAAATAAACGCAAAACGGTGAAAAAGAATGAAACGGAAATTTATTTAAAGGTAAATAAAACCGGCAAAATCGCGAAACAAGCCAAATAATAATAAACTTCAGCTCCGCTGGGAGGAAATTGTTGTTTGCAATCAGGCCAAGCCCAACAACCCAACAACCCGACAAGCCAACAATCCAGCAACCCAACAACCCAACACCGCAGACAGACCAACTCAATGGACAAATGGAGGAGGACATGGTAGATGGACAGGGCAGGTCTGGAGAGGATGGTAAAGTTCTGCAGAGTGTCTCGGCGAAAGTTTGCTCAGCTCAAAGTGCTTCGGATGCAACAATGAAACTCGAAATCTGCCATGAATTGCAGACAATCAGCGACAGAGGACAGAGGACATAAGACAAGCTGGCCGTCCGGGTGAATTTAAAGTATTGCGCCATGGAACGAAGTTAATAAGTTTGAAAGCCAACGCCCCAGAGAATGCGAGTGAAATAGTGCTGCAGGATGTGGCATAAAAATGGCAAAATTATTTGAAGAAATGTTACAAAACAATTAAAAAGTTGCCGACTTTCATGAGTCAATCAAAGGAGCGGTAGCCGCAACGAGTTGAGTTTCACTAAAAGTTGCTCAACTTTGCCCCCCGCCGCACTTTAAATGCCAGACAACAAGCATACGCCCCGTTGTACGTCATGTGAGAGCAGCAGCAGCAGCAGCAGCAGCAGCAGCAGCAGCAGCAGCAGCAGCAGCAGCAGACATCCCTTTTTGCCCACAACTCCCCAGCTAATGCAATTTGCTCTTGCTGAATTTTATTTTCTGGCCAATCAGAGCCAGAACTTGAAAAACTGCTGCATTTTCGAAAGCAGCTAGACAACAGAAAACGGGGCTGTCAGTTAAAGCTCCTGGCAGTTGTTCCACATATCCACATTATACATATTTCGGAAGGCGCTGATGCGCACCAGATGCAGATGCCTAAATGGATTGCTGCATTTTTACATTTAATTTGTTTTTCAGCAGCAATTATATTCGAAAAAAGTTGTTCTGCTGTGGCACGAGTTTTAGACATTTTCCGACCTGCAAATAAAGTTTTTATCTCGGTTGTTTGGCCGAAAATGAAGATAACTGGGTCACATACTAAATTCTTTGCAACGAAATTGGATCTTGCATTTTATTTAAAATCGTTAGAAAAAATAATAAAAAAATTCTTTTCGTTTAGGTTTTTATTATTTTTTTATAGGCGGATTTTGATTTGAATTTAAAGTTTCTATTCTAAATTCATTGCTTAAACTTTAAAGTTTTAAAAATATATTATTACCAAAACCTCGTTTAAAAGATATTTGTCTTAAATATATAGACACATTTTTAAAGCGACATTTAAGACGAGAAAATTTGACAGGACTGAGTGCTGGGAAGGTTCATCTAATCCCGTCTGGGTACTCGTTTCTGGAAGGGATCGGACTCCCGATGAAACCAGCCATATCGCCAGCTAGTCGCCTCCGGATAGTTGTACTTGTCGTCCGGACTGCGTTCGTACCGCCTCTCCAGGTAGCTGATCCGCTGGCCATTCCTCAGTAGTTGAAGCTCGGCCGCCGGCACCGATTTCATGGGAAAGACCCGACTTTGGCCAAACCTGGACTCCTCCAAGTGGGACAGGTGGTAGTGGAATACTCCGGAGCCGGAGGATCGGTACATTCGGCTGGTAACTGTATTCGAGCTCCTTAGGGGAATGTGGAACTGTTGGGCTCTAGTACACTGATACAAAATGGAATAGTAAAAATTAATATCTGATTATTGAAATCAAAATGTTATTATCAAAATTTAAATTAAATATTTAGTCAAAATATTTAGTCATAATATACAATACATTTTTATTTGTATGATTTCGTATTAAATATTTCCATTAACTTGGAAAATCCTAGATCTAAAATATGTACTATTTGATTAAAGTTAAATATTTAGAAGATGGCGTTTACTTCTATTCAGAAGAGATGGCCAAAAAAATTCAGAGCAGCTCAAAGTTAAATATTCAGGTAACAAAATCAATTTCGAAATACTTAATTTAATTGTAACATAATATGTATTTTTTTAAATAACTAAAAGCCGCAATGGATAGAATGATAAAATAAAATAATAAAATAATAAAAATAATTGAGTAATAAATGTTTGTTTTTTTTTTTACCAGTTTAGAAACAGTATTCCGGTTGGGTGCCGATTTTCTGGAGGAATCTGTAGTTGGAGTAATGCCCTTTATTGTTTTGGACTTTGTCTTATTAAGGACTTTCTCCAAAATACATGATTTATCCAGTACTATTTTAATTCCTTGACTTGAATTAGATTTCAGCTGCTCTGATGTCGATTTCTCCGTTGTCTTCTCGGAAACTTTAGGAGCTGATAGATCAGAGCGAGCTGAAGCAGTCTTGGCCATATTCTTGGCTTTTTCCACCCGAAACGGGGAACTCAAAGCAGATTTGGACTGGGCGGATTTCACAAACTTCAGTGAGTCCATGGACGTATTCGACGACCTTATGTTACTTGACTTTCCCGAGCACATTCGCTTCATGACTGCACTTCAAAATTTGGATGTCACTTATTTATTTAGAGATCTAAACGTTGTGATTAAGACACTTGTTCATACAAAAATAATTACCAATTTATACCGACATTGACAGAAAAGTCAAAGAGCTATTGTGAAAAGTTAGTATCAAATAGAAATCTAATAGAAAATTGATTTTGTTAAACAATATGTTAGTTCCTTTTAAATAAAATATTAATTTTGTTTGTTGATTTGAATTCAATAAATTTTGTTTGGTGACCTCCTCCGGAATATGTCACAATTATGGATAGTTTTGATTGGTATTATTTTGATATACTCATATAATAGTCTGCAGATTTTTACAAGTGTTGTCGAACACACGGAGTGGATTCCCAAACAACAGACAAACAATTTATTTGAATTAAAAAGAAATTTTACAATCGATTGTTTGGATTAAGGATGCTATGTTGGAACTTCAAAATCAAAATGGATAAAAATATTTGATTCTCAAACACTTATAATTCCATTTGGCCAGCAAACGATGATGTCTTTTTTATATCTGTTTTGATTCTCAATAAATGTTAAACTGCTGCTGAGTTTTCCTTTTCCTTTCCACATTCTTTACTCGTAACCCGAATTTGTGTTTATTTTCAATTTGTGTGGTAGTGTGAACATATAAAGTGGATTATGCAGAGATAAGAGCGCTCTACAGACACATTTTTCTCACATTTCCCATGTTATTTTTTTCATGCCTGACCAAAAGGAAGCTTTGTCCCACACGTTGGCCATAAAAATATCGCAGATATGTCGCCAGACTGTGAAATGTTTATATGCATGGGGTCGCGTGTCGTGGCTGCAGCCATTGCAGTAGCACCACGAAACTCCATAAAACCCGGAGAAATCGACAGGAACTCTAAGGATATATATATATGTATATTTATATGTATATTCCGGCTTTGATTTGGTCTTGTACCAATTGGCTTGTTTATTTCCGAATCTTTTCTGTTTACCTGGTGGCTTCGTTAAAGGTGTTTTCGGTGGACGTTTTTCAGGATTTGGTTGTTTACCTTCACCTGCACTGCATAAATTAGTTGCACGTCTTTTTATATGTCTCTTTTTCCTGCTTTCGATATATAGGTATATCACTGAAATTCGGAACTTTTGACGTATGATACAGTATCGCAGATTGATTTTGGCCAACTTCCATGTGATCGATGGGCGTAATGTCATTGCAATACATTGCGGAAGTGAAAAATTAAACGACTTGCAACTTTAATAAGACGAAAGTGCGCGACAGCTGAAGCACTCACAATTTCCTCGACCCTCGCTGACCATTAGCGGAAAAGTCGCTCTTTCCACTTCGATTTGACTCGAATCGAATCGAATCGAATAGCTTCCATTTTCATTTCCATTTTCTTTCGCATGCTGCATTTTTCTTCATCAATACCTTCCCTCCATCTCCTTAATTTGCACAGCATTTGTCGCCATTTGGCTTTTAGTTAGCCGGGAAATGCGGAAAATGCGGGAAAAGCTTCGAAATCGGGGAGTTGGGTAGTTGGGGGCCAAGCTGCTGACTGATGGAGTTGCAGTTGCACTTTACTGCAATTGGTTGCACTTTATTCGCGGTTGCGTGAGTGGAACTCGAAACTTTACAATGGAATTGGCAGCCAGCAAGTTAAAACTTCTAAATTGCATTATGGCAAACCCCAAAACCCCCTCAAAAAAACCATGGCAGCAGGGCCAACATTTCGCTCTTAATTAAATTGAACACTCTCGATATCCGATTTCAGCTCACATATTAATGATGTAACGACTGGCATATCTTTCCTAATTGCGGTTTGAGTTAATTGTTTTAAAACTATATATTAAATTGCTTATCAAATGAAAAATAACAAAGAGAAATAAATTAATGTATTATTCCCTCTAAATAAACACATTAATGGGATTGTTATTTAAATTGGAACTATTTTAATTCTAATATTATTCATATTAATTAAATTATTTGGATCACGAAATTTAATATGCATTGTTTTTATTATTATGATAAAGTATTTTATTTTAATAATTAATAAATTATTTTAATATATTAAATTTCTCATTTTGAATTCAATATTCAGATATTAAATTTTAATTTAAAATTGAATTTCATCAATGTGGGATTGTATACACTTTTTTGGTTTTCTTAGTTCAGAAAATTATTTTATGATTTGGCGATTTCCATCCTAGATATCAAGATGGTAGACAGGTGGAATCTCCAGCCGCCAAGTTGAAGTGATTCAACGGCAATGAGCTCAAACGACCTCAAAACCGACAACTGAGTGGCGGATGCTGTTGGCCAAGCCAAAGTTCGTTGACTCAAAATGGCACTTTGGGGCCCGGGCACTCACAAGATCTCCATAAGCAACTGGATGATGAGCAGCAGCAGCAGCAGCAGGACAAAGGGGATAATCGGGACAAGCAGGACAAATAGGACAAACAGGAGGTGGAGCTGCGAAAGGACTAAGTCAACAATGCCGTGCGCATTGCTAGGTTTATTAAAAAGGGCTCAGGTGAATGTCGGAGCGCCATTTGAGCCATCCGGCGAGCCCCTCGTTTTGTCCCCTGTGTTTACTTAGCCGAGACACACGCAAGCTTACGTATACGTAATATAGAAATAGAGATAGGGAAACCAGAAGCCCTGAGTTTACCCTGGCAAAGTTTGCCCCTAGCCTTCGACTCGAAGCAGCAGTCTGCCGTCAATGGTCAAAGGTCATTTGCATTTTGCCATCGTCAGCTTGGCCATGGCCAACCAAACAAATATAGGTACTACAAACGCTACGACGCCTGGCGGGGAAGGGACCATTGATACAAATATAAAACTGATTAAATGGCCGAGATTGGAGGAGCGGTAAAAATATTTACAAAGAACACAACAGCACTAAAAAAATATTAAAAAGACATCCAAGTTGAACGAATATTTTAATATTTTTTGTACATGCTGTGTAGTTTATTTATTCAACTACAGTTCAGTTCTACTAGGTGTAATATTCATTTATTTATTTCATTTTAATTTTGATACAAATATTAAAAATATTATCTTATTTCTGAGCAGTTAACTTTATTCCTATCAAGAAACTAAAACAATTTGTTCTTACTAATAACTGTTAAATTTTTTTTAGAAGGTAAATGCTCAAAAATGACAATAAATATATATTTGTTAAATAAATATTGTTTTATCATTGATTTCTTCATTAATTTAATGTAGGTTATTTTTACTGTAGCCACGTTAAATAAATAGTGAATGAATCATTGGGCGATAAAGCGAGTAAATAAAATACGGATTTAATGCAATAACTTCAATAATTTCAAAAGCAAGTCAGCAGCTTGGCAATAAAAATTATATATACTTTTCACAATTTGTTTCTTTGTAGTTAACTTTATGCAGTTAACATTTAGAAAGTATATGCTTTAATATCATAAAATATACATTTGCTTAACATATAATGTTTAGCCTTTAATTATTAAGTTCTTCATTAATTTAAAGTAGGCTATTTTAACTGTAGCCACGTTAAATAAATAGTGAATGAATCATTGGGCGATAAAGCGAGTAAATAAAATACGGATTTAATGCAATAACTTCAATAATTTCAAAAGCAAGTCAGCAGCTTGGCAATAAAAATTATATATACTTTGCACAATGATTAATTGACAAATATCAGAAATATGTTGTTTTTTTTCGCATGCCACAGGCAATCGCGAGATGGCCACATTTTCAGCATGTAAACACGTTTCCATCGCACAAATTCCCATGCAGATACCATCTCGATCCCAATCCCGTCATGTTCAAATCGCTCGTCATTAATTTCCACACATTGGAGTGGGAGTGGAATTGGGATTGGGATTGGGATTGGGATTGGGAGAGCGATGGCAGCACTTGAAACTGTGCTCCAAGCCTTGTTTATCCACAACAGCGTCCTCAACTTTTATTGGGTCTTTAGTTGCGCTGGCGTCGAGGGTTTGGGAGGGGATTTAAGTGGGCTTTCAGTGAGTTTTGGGTACTTGGTTGGGGGACAAGAAAAACAACAATCAACACCATTTGACGCTACAAATTAAGCTCGAAGCAAACAAATCGTGGTAAGTTCGCTCGGTTTTGCCCGCCAAAGTTTCTGCTGTTTTTAGCACATGTTGTTGCCTTGTTTTATGTGCCTGTCTTTTCTGCTTTCCCGCTTTTACGCATTTTCCGCATTTTCCGCTTATTGCTCGGCCCAAACCCCCCAGCCCCCAAAATCCCCAAAAGCCCAATCCCCAAAACGAATTCCATTCCACTCCTCGCTTGTCTCAAGGGCAATTGCCGGTTCAATGTGAAGCAGCCTTTTCGATTGGCAATGCTCACTATTTATGGGGTAAAAGTGCTTAATCAAATGCCAAACGGCGGGGGCACGTACCGAAAACACGGCGTATACTTAATTTTCGCACATTGCCCGAAGCCAAAATCTTCCTTTCTCCATCTGTGTTTTTTGCGTTGAGTGCTAATGAAGCCATGCTCTTAGCATTGGAAAATTCGTATTTAATTAACAAGTTTGACAAGGGCTTAACTGTTGATTGAGGACTTAAGGCATGAAGAGTGTGTAACGTGTTATACAATGTATACAAAAGATAAACTGAAATAAAATGAAAATAGCTAAAAAAAAGTGTTTTCATTAAAAACGTTTTTTATGTCAATTTTTAATAAAGTAATAGAAAAAACTACTTTTAGTTTTACAAGAGATATTTTAAAAAATATGAAATTATTTAAAAATCATTACCAGTTTTCTTAATGTTTGCGTATAATATGAAATCGATTTTTGGAAAGAGCAAGTAAATTAAATGAGAAATAAATAAATGCAATAATTCATATAAATGCATTAGTAATATTGACAAATATGAGAACAGTTTTCCCATAGTTTAATGCAGATTAAACTTTAACACAAATCACACTATGTTTATATTCTGCGGTTGGCTAGTATGCCTTGATAAATGCTTTTATTAATTCATTTAGCGCTATGCCTGCGGCAATGCCAAAAAAATAGTAAATAAAATGCATTGCCATCATTGCAAAAAAACATATTTACGCAAATTTTGAATGGGTGAAAACGTGTGTAAATTCAGAATGTCTGGTCGTTGGGGAAAATAATTAAATTTCTGTAATTCTATTTGCAGATCGACTTTTTTGGTAGTTTAATTTATTTATTTGGCAGCAGCATTTTTAGTAAACGTTTGTTTTGGGGATTGGCCATTTTTGGTTGGCACGTGTTTAATCCTGGTAAGTATGCGCCACAGCTCCAGGACATCCAGGACATTCAGGACTCCTCGTTCGGTACACGGTTGTCATAAAATGTTAAATATAAATTTATGGCAGACTGCTCGCTGCTGGCATACTAAGCACCGCATCAGGAGTCCACAGGAGAAAGGAGTCGCACAAGGACTTCGCAGGAGTCGAGGCTTTTCCCGGTTGGCTAAGCACATTAGCAAAATGAAGCTGTTTCGATTACGTTTACATTGGCCAGAGATTTGCGCTTTTGTTGCACTTTGTGATTTTGTTGTCAGCATTTCAGCCACAGGACTTTTGTAGACCAGCTGCCAAGGACTCAGGCTCAGGACCTTTATAAATGGGATCAGGTGCTGGGATTGGCTTGGCCAGAATAGTCAGCCAAACAAATTGAAATATTCACTTAGTAGTGCGGCAACAGTTTTACTATTATTGTCCTCACTATTTATGTTAACAATAATATGATTAGGGTGGTAATTGTTAATTCGCTTATAGATTGAATTACGCAGATTTACCTTTGTTGCAGCAAATTGAATTAAATGATTTATTTTATTTTAAATTGCTTAAATACGTGATGTACTTGTAATACTTGTATTAAAAACAAATTAAAAGCAAAAAAAAAAACATGATAGAAAACGATTAAAATAATTCACTCTTAAATGGCCCGTATTTTTAATCGTGATGGTTTTAGAATTGAGAAAATTAAAACTTTATTTTTGAGCCACATTAACATCATATTTTAAATAGTAATTTTGTATCAGAAACCGTAATAATTTTAAGCTTTGTTATAAAAATAACTGGGCAATGCTTTGATTTAAATAGCTTAGTTTGTTTATTTTTAAATGAAAATCATTATTTTTGATATTTAATAAAACTTATTGCATGCTCATGGGTTTTCAACAACAAAATTTAAAATATTGATTTTTAAATATTTATTTTTGCCTTTCAAAAAAAACTAACACGTTCTGTGCTTCTTCCCTCACTTAAAAAATTTTCAGCCCCCAAACAACGTGCACATACATTTTATTCCAGTCACAACATTTTAAATAATTAAAGTAAAGTCATATGGCCGAACGCTATGACCGCGCAGTGACCATTTACTCACCCGATGGGCACCTGCTGCAGGTGGAATATGCCCAGGAGGCAGTTCGAAGGGGTTCCACGGTGGTAAGTCCCTGTCGTCTGGCATTGACCACTGTTTAATCTGCCCAAAACCCACCAAAAAGATGGGTCTGTGTACCAACAACGCCATAGTGCTCGGCGTGGAGAAAAGGTCCGTGGGCGATTTGCAGGAGGAGCGAATGGTGCGCAAGATTTGCATGCTCGACGACCACGTGGTAATGACTTTTGCGGGGCTTACGGCGGATGCACGCATCCTGGTAAGTCGCGCCCAGGTGGAGTCCCAGAGTCACCGCTTGAATTTCGAAAAGCCCGTGAGCGTTGAGTACATAACCCGGTGAGCAAAAATCATTATTCGCTGTGACTATACTTACTACACTGGGAGAAACGAACTTGTGAGAAATTCGATCTCAAATTCAAACCTATCTGCTTCTAAGATAATATTATATTTTCAACAAATTCGTTTTAAAATATGAAATTGTTTTGTGAATATATTCAAATGGTACCTTACTTACTACATTTGTAAAAATGAACTCTACAAGCTTTTAGCTTAGCTTTTAAAACCTACGTCCAAGAGAATGTTGTTCTATTTTAAAATCGATGAGTATTTTTATAAATATTTATAAACGGAGACTGCTTTAGTTGATTATAATTTAATATTTTAAAATTTAGATTGTAAGTCTTAAAAACATTTTTCCTAAGCCTATAAGTTATAAGTTTAATTGTTTATGAAACAGTTTGTTCAAAAGAACTATTTCATAGAATTATTGTTATTTGTATCTGCCCTGATTAAATAAAAATTTTAAATTAATGTTTTAAAGCAACAAAAGCTAATTGGCGAACAGCAATTTTTAAAAGACCTTGTTGCCTGTTTAAAAAAACAGATATAATAATAGCTTTTCCATTTCATTTATTTACAGACCTTATATAGTTCAACTGTGTGAGCCAGAGATTTATTTTCCATTTCTGTTTCTTTCTTTTCCATTTCGCAGCTTCATGGCCCAGCTAAAGCAGAATTACACGCAGAGCAACGGGAGGCGTCCGTTCGGAGTGTCCTGTTTGGTTGGGGGCTTCGACGAGGACGGCGCTCCGCACCTGTTCCAGACCGAGCCCTCGGGCACCTTCCACGAGTGGAGGGCCAGCAGCACCGGGCGGTCTGGCCAGCCGGTCCGCGACTATATGGAGAAGCACGCGGACGCGATTCTGGCCGCCGTCGATGAGCCCGCGGCCATCAAGCACATAGTCCGTACTCTGATGAGCGTGTCCTCGCTGAATCACAACCAAATGGACGTGGCTGTGCTGAAGTACAAGCAGCCACTGCGTATGATTGATCGCCAAATGCTGGCCGATATTGTGCGAACGGTTCGCGCGGAGTTGGAGGCGGAAGCGGAGGTTAATCGGAAGACCCCCCGTGTTGGCTAATTTTCGGACATGGCCCTGGGTCAAATTCATCGCCCTTTCATGACCAATCAAACGTTGATATCCTTAGCTTCTCGAGCAATTCAATTTCGACCCGGGAGATGGGGGAAAAGTAATCAGCAGGAAAAATGTGTAAAGCGGGCCAAATCACTTAATTTGTCTCGAGGGCGTATTTGTTTACTTTATATCTCCAGACGAAGGCGCGTCCGCCTCTCTTTTCAGGCCAACCAAGTTAAAAAGTTTTAAGTGAAAATGGGAATTGAATTTGTAGAGGAAAAAATAAGAGAAATGCGCGCACACATGCAGAAAATATTTTTCCAGTCTTTGATTTGATTTGCCTTTGACGGCCAAAGGTTTTTCTGTCTAGAAAATACTTGGATGGGAATAGACTATCGAAAAATAAACGAGTTTCAAATTGCATTTAGAAATCTTATTTAATTTGAAAACATTTTTGTTTTGGCTTAGAAAAACTAATTTCGTAGAATGGATAAATCATTTGTGAGTTATAAAAGGATGTATGAGAAACCATCAATACTTTTGACTTCAGGCGTTATGTAAATATATATGGGAGTTCTATAAAATTCACAGGAGTTTTAAAATAATTGATAAAGGCGTCTGAAAGTATACATTTTATAAAATATTTGTATTCCGGAAGTCCAATGGATATTTAGCAAAATACGAAATGGATAAACAATTTTGAATATATGTAAGCAAATATTAAGAACCATCAATACTTTTTGGTTAGAAGAGTATTTTGCCCTCAGGCGTAATGTATTTTTTATAAAGGTTGAAGTCAAGCATGGATTCTTAAAATAATTTATAAAGGTGTCTGAAATTAAGCATTATATAATATATTTTACAAATTTTTAGACACGTTTAAAAAATATTTCAAACCTCTTTTGACATCATTAATATTTTATTTTATAAACTAAAACCTCTTTAATATTTTTTTGAGTACAAGCTCAGTTTTTTGCAAGCTGTTAAATGGAACTTAGGATATCCTGTTCCTCTTGAACTTTGTGTTCCCTGGGCTGTCATAGTGGTCGTCAAAAGTTTACCCCCACTAGTCCTGAAATTGAGTACTTCAATCAAAAGTGGGCTTCCGGGGGTTAAAGGTGTGTGCTTTTATTTAGGAACGGCTCAATCCAAAGCTTAACCCTTCAAAGAGGTCATGCCGGCCTGCATTATTTCATCGGTGAGCAGAAGGTTGGCGGCAATAATGGAGCTGGCGTCCAGGATGTGTCGCCTCACACAGAAGTTGTCAAGGATGCCTGCGGCTGATGGGTCCATGGGTTCCCCCGTTGCCAGGTCGAGTCCTACGGACTCCTCCGTCTCCCGCTGGGCGTCAGTCAACTTGACCATGGTGTCCGGCACATCAAAGCCACTGTTTGTGGCCAATGTCTTGGGTATGACCAGCAAAGCCTCGGCAAAGAGTTGGACACCCAGTTGGGCCTTTCCCTTGACACAGTTTTTGACCTTTAGCAGTTCCTTGTGGGCCCTCAGTCCGAAGGCTCCGGCACCTGGAACCACACACTCATCCCGGATGGCGTTCTGAACGGCATGGAGTCCATCGTGGATGGCATCTTTGATGGCTGCCATCTGGTGACGGGCTTGACCGCGAATCAAGATTGTCACGGAAGTGGGATTGCGGCAGTGCTCCACGAAAGTGTACTTTGTTTCGCCCAACTCCTCCTCGCGAACCAATCCAGCGAAGCCCAGATGCTCCTCTCTCAAATCCTCCAGGGAATGCAAGGCCTCTCCTCCGCAGGCTCTGACCAAACGCTCCATGTTCCTGCTTTTGGCGCGTCTTAGGCCCAGAATTCCCTCTTTGGCCAGTGACTCCAAGGAGGGCACATCGATACCTTTCTGAGTGATGACCACAAACCCTTTTTGGTTGCCCGCACAGACTTGCTTCTTCAGTTCTATGATCTTGGCTAAACGGAGATCTATAAAGCGATGTTCCTCTGTCACACATTTATCCACCTCTTCGGCAGTTTTGTAGTAAAACCCTGAGTTCACAGAGGTTTTCTGCATTTCCAAGGAGACATTGCAGGTGAGAATATAGGCATCCTGCAGGATCTTCGGCATATTCACATGACGACCGCCGTGATCGAGAACTAGACCTTGAACAAGCTGAGTTTCCAGACCCGTGTGCTGAAGCATTTCCATTACTTCAATCATGTTGAGATCTAACAGATCCCTGCCATCACCACGAATAGCCAGAACAGCATCCACGCAGATATCAGTGATCATGTCGGCCAAACCAGGTTCCAGTTTAGTTCTTAAGCTGGTTCTTGCCACCGGAATCAAGGCTTCCCGCTTTATATCGATGGGAATCTTCAAAGATTCTAGTACTTCCAACGCCCTTTTCTTGGCCCACATGATACCCTCCACCAGCAAACGAGGATGCAGTCCCTCTGCGATGAGTAACTCGGCCTGTTTGAGCAGCTCACCAATCATGAGCACCGTGGACGTGGTGCCATCTCCCAGCGAATCGTCCTGGGCTGTGCTTGTCCTGGCAATCATGTTGGCCGTGGGATGGCGGATGTTCATCTCGTGGAGCAGCACATTGCCATCCTTGGTGATCTTGATGTCCCCGGCCGGCGAGACGAGCATCTTGGTGGTGCCCTTCGGACCCAGATTGGAGGCCATGAGTTTCTGCAGTCCCATGGCTCCAGCTGTGTTTATGGCCAGAGCCTCGGCAGCTCGCGCGATTTCAGCCTTGGGATTCAGCAGACTTACTGCTGCCATTTTTTATTTATTTAATATTATTTATTTTCAAAATGAATTTTAAGGGATTGTATTATCAGAGACTTCTAATCACCGCTGACAAGCAGATGTCAAAGTGACAGCTTTTTCCAGGCACACCAGGTACCAAAAAATGATTGATTCATAATATACGAATGATACAGAAGGCCTTGACTTTAGATGTCATTGAAAAATCCATTTGACTCCTTTAACTAAAACTCATTAGTTTAGCCAACATGTCGGGCTCGTAAGTATTGTTATTTTCTCCTGTTGAGTATTTTTACCCACTTAAAATAACCCATTTTATTTCGCGTTACAGCAACAGCATGATAGTAGAAGGCAGCTGGATCAGTTGGTTTCTTGGCCTCCAGGGCCACGAGTTTCTGTGCCGTGTGCCGTTGGATTATCTAGAGGATAAGTTCAATTTGACGGGTCTGGAGACTTTGGTGGGGAACTTCAGCCAAGCCCTTGACTTGATTTTCGAAACGGATTTCGACAACGAGGACTGGGGCACCGTGGACACCACCGATGCGGAGCAGCTCTATGGCCTGATCCACGCCCGATATATCCTCACATCGCGCGGCGTGGAGGATATGTGTTTGAAGTACGAGCGAGGTGACTTCGGTTCGTGTCCGAGGGTCTACTGTAAGGGGCAGAAGACCCTGCCCGTCGGCCTGTCCGACCTGAGCTGCCAGAGCCATGTGAAGGTCTACTGTCCGCGCTGCCACGACATCTTCCATCCCCGCACCCGTTGTGCTCTGCTGGATGGAGCCATGTTCGGGACCAGTTTCCCGCACATGTTCTTCATGCAGCTGCCGAACATGAGACCCCAGCCACCCAAGGACAAGTACGTGGCCCGGTGAGTGCTTAACCCATTTATTTCCGTATCTAAGTTATAGACTAAGCCCCTTTTGCAGTCTCTATGGCTTTCAGTTGCATCAGAAGGCCCTCAATCCACCACAATCGCCTGAACAAGAGCCCAAGAATTCAGGATCCTCGCTTAGCCAGTCTACCTTTGGAGCATTGGACAATTCCCAGGCCTCGTGCCCACCTTGGCGACGATTCAATGGGATTTAATGGATGTCTATTTATTGCAATTAAACGAATTTCTTATTAGTGCGTTGATATAGCCAAATATTATACACCTATAGGTATACACATGTACACTCACTAAACAAATACAGATCGTTTAAAGCTGGCCATATCAACCACTCGAATAAGTAGCAAACTTAAGAACTCTTGTTGTTAATGGAGCTAATCACCTGGGCGTTTAGGAACTGAAGCAACTTTAAGCGGCCTATTCATCCGCTTAGAGCTTAATATTTTGCACTGGCAGAAATTAGAACCCTTACAAATAAGCATGGAAAACTCATTGCTTTTGCTACAATTCTTGGTCAAAAAAAATAATGCGATATAAAAAGAATAGTTAAAGAGAAGCATTTATAAACTTTTAATTCAAAAAATTGTATTGCCGTTTTACATTACATTATATTATATTTGTTATATAGAGTTTTATAGATGCATTTAAATAAACATAAAACCTAATTTCTTAGACTTAGATCGAAAATATGTCACAAATAACTAATACCTTTTCTTGCTCTGAAATGTTATTATTAAACATAACTCATATTTTTTGTAACAAGATTTTCTTGGAGTACATAAACTTGATTTTATGAAGATGAAGAAAATTGCCAGAGATAGGAGAAATTTAATATTTTATCTCTGTGTGACTTGTGTACGCTGGATTGCGCAATCAAAATCCACTTGCAAGCACAACCTGCTAAGCCGATAACGGGAATAACGCAGAGCTGAGGACTCGAGTCCTGTGAGTCCTGTGAGTTCTGCAAGGAGTCAGCTTCTGTGTTCCACTGGCCTCTCCAATAAGTCATGCCTTTATTATTATTTACTGCCGCCTGGCCGCTTTCAGTTTTCCGCTTTCCACTTTCCACTTTCCGCTTTCCACTTTCCGCGCCACTCTACGCCTTTTCTCTGTCGAGCAGAGAATTGTGCCGACAAGCATTCTCAGCCTTTCTCCTTTCCGCGTTCTCTCACTTTTCACACTTAATTTCATTAAGTAATCTTTCATACTGCAGCTTTTATTGAGTTTTAAACTGGCAGACCGTATAATGAGTATGGCAAGTGAGGAAAAGCGAGGGAAAGCGAGGAAAATGTGAAAAGAGGAAGCTTTTCAAGAGGAAGTAAGCGTTTTGTTTTACATAACAATTGAGCTGTGAATGTGCTTTCTTATTGTCTGCTGATGGCATTTCACTTGTTGCTCCTCGGCCCGCCATCATTTATTCATGGCGAATCCCTGCTTTATTTTTTTAATCTTTACCCAATTCCAGACGGCACACGTTTTGTAGTCTTAGTTCTGCTTGGATAAACAAATCCGAATGTACAGGTACTAGTAAACAAGGCACTTCCATTCGATTGTGAACTTTGCTGCAGGATGGCGTTTCCATTCCTTTTGTGTTGTTATCCAGTGCGCCGGGCGAAATGTGTTTTCAAGAGTGGCCGAATATTTGATTGTATCGCCACAGGCTCCGCAATTTCTATCCGCCATCCCAGCGCCGACAACCAATTTTCAGAAAGTTGTTTTTCCGAAGAAATATTATTGTGTGCTGGCTTTCGAAAATATTTCGACTCCCTTCGCCGGGCAAACAATATATGCCATTCGAACAACGCCCTTGCAATTTCAGTTTTATGAATGGGAAAGGTAATACAAAAAGATATACAAAATAAAATCGCAGACATTTCGAAATCATGTTTGCAACCTTTTTAGTAACATTTGTATTACGCATGTCAAAATAAACTATAGTTTGTTTCATTCACTTAAAACCCAAATACAAATGGTATCGTATTGTTTTATATATGTTTAATATATACATATTTTATTTAATTTATTTATGGGTAATAGCCGTTCAATTTTTTTCTATTACGTCTTTGTGCAGGCACACGTTTTGTAACAGGTCGTTTAGAAACGGGAGAAAAAATTTTAATGTTTAAAAAATTAAAGAACTGGTAATTTTGGCACTATTTCATTAATTGTTTACAGACATTACTGTTATTAAATTTTAGATGTAAAGCAGCTTTCTTACTTTCTCAAGCGAGGGTAGTTTCTAAACGTTTCTTATTCCCTAGTGCTGATTACGATTCAAATTAAAAGCCATTGTGGCTTCACATTTTTTCTCGACTTTTATGCAGTTGAAGTAATTTTTAGACTTTCCATGATGAACCCAGTCTGAGCTAAGCGATTCAGCAATTTATGGTTAATGGCACCAAATTGGTTAACTTTGGCAGGCGGCAGGCAAACTTTCTTAAAACTTGGCAAAGGCTCCGGTTCCGTTAATTTGGAGCTGAGCGGTCGGTTGACCAAGTCACCCAGTCACAAAGCCAACTGCAAGGTCCCAAACGCCGGCTGATTAGCCCACTGGGAAAGAGGACCACCGTAATTATCCTGATGAAATTGGCCGGCCAGGCCGGGATCGGGGTTCATCAGCCTGGTTAGACTGGTTAGCCTGGTTAAAATTAAGTTACTGCGGACCAAACGCCGGACATGTCTGCCCGGTAATAAGCTAAATGAAAACAAAAATGGACGTCACTCAGTCACTCTCCAAATTGATGAAGATGAAGTTGGAGGCGGATGGCAGATGACAGAATGGCAGGATGGCAGGGTAGGTAACCCAATAACTTTGGCCACGCATTAATTGGAATTTATGAAGCTGGCCACTTTCCGCCGGAGATGCTGTGCCAAAGAAAGCGCGTAATGCGTGCCAAGTGTCACGGGAAAGGGTTAGCAACCCCTTGGACAAATGGCTAAATGGCAAATGGGCGAAAGGCAAGTGGAAATGGAAAAGTGGCGAAAAGGACGAAGAGGACTTGTGGGACAAGTTTAAGTGCTTTTAAAAAACCATTAACGTCATTTCCTTTGCTGTCTGGCCCTCTATTTTTTTTCTTCATATTTATTCTTTGCTAACGTACAACATCAATGCAATAAGTTCTTGAAACGTAAATTTTGATTAAACAATGTCTTGGTCACTTGGATTTCTTCTTGATGGCATTGGGCTGCAAGGATCCAGAGCCCCAGGTTCCCTGGGGATTGGGCACTGGTGCTGGCCTATCATTGCCAGTTGGTGGAGGTTTCACCAATGAACTGGCCTTCCTGGAACCGCGTTTTATTCTGGGTGGCTGGGATTTGGGCAGGGGTTTCTCTGCTGGCGGTGATGATGGAACACTAGCTGGCGGTGGAGCTCTCAAGCTGGTGTCTGTCTCCTTGACAACGGGCAGCAGTTTGGGATCATTCAGGGAGCCCATAACCCTTTGAGCAACCTTTTTAAAGACACTCGGCTCCCTCTTTTCAATCTCCGGCATGGGTGGCAGTTTGATGGACTCCCGGCTGATCCGTCGGCGGTTGTCCAGCGGATCGTTGTGTATGACCTGCATGGGTCCGGGACAAGCAGCTATGGTGGGGGGATCGGTGTAGCAAACATGACGGGCGTAGTCAAAGGAATCCCGGCTATCCGTGGCCGGCATTCCACGGCGATGGAAGCAATTGATGGGACACGAGGCCACGCACGGCGTGTAGGGCTTCTCCACCTCGGCCAGCTTCTTGATCTTCACCGAGTTGCAGTAGATCTGGTGGCGATCGGCCACCTGCTCCTCGCGGCACATCTCCCGCTGCTCGTACTTGCGGTAGGCCAGCTCCGCTTTGGAGTAGTAGCCCGGCCAGCAGTAGTCCCTCAGTCGGCTGCGCTTCACCATCCTGCCCTCCGGTCGCATGTCCAGCTGGTTCTGCCGCTCGTACCGCTCCACGGCCGTGGCTATGGGGTATAGGGGGCGACCCACACGGCGCGACTCCTCCATGATCTGCACGGCCTGCTCGAAGAACTTTTTGTCGTCGTCGAGGTAGGGATCTTCGTTGCAGGCCGCCAGGTTCATCAGCTCGGCGCGTCGCTTCTCGAGGAACTCCTGCCGCTGGCCAAAGAGCACGGTGCGCAGCTCCTCCTTCACCTGGTCCCGCTTGCGCTTCTGCGAGGCCTCGAAGTGGCGATTCGCCTCGGCGTTCTTGAGGCGACGCGCCACATGGAAGCGCTGCAGCTCCTGCTGGCGTCGCAGCTTCTCCGCCTCCTGCTGCCGCTCCACCAGCTGGTACCTCCGGCGCTCCCGGGCCAGCATCTCCCGCTCGCACTGGCGCCGATTCTCGTCCACCTGCGTCTCGAAAGAGTAGCGATCCTCCGCCTTCGCCTGCCGCTCCTCCAGCTTCCTCTGCTGCTCCTGCTGCGCCTGGCTGACCACCACAGCCCGATCCGCCCGCTCCTGGATGCGCTTCTGACGCAGCTTCTTGACATGGCTGCCATAGCGAGTGTCCAGGTTGCGACTGGCCACTATGTACACGCAGTTGCGACGGTCGTCGATGGCATCACAAATGCGCTCGTCTGCGGAGTAAGAGGTAATAATAACAGTTTACTATTATTTCTGGGTGAAGAAAATGTAGTAAAAAATTTAAGCCTTAGTTTCAAAAATTAAAATCGTTTGTTTGTTTTTTACGAAATAAATACACTAATACAGTATTAAAGAGTATTTGATTTTAACATAGTTCAAATATTTAATCCTAGTCCAAGTATTTAAAAATTTAGATATTTTTGGCTTTAATTTTTAATAATTGTTATAATTTTTTATAAAAGCTAAAAATAAAATGTGAAATAAAATGTTTATTTTTTCTGTTCCATTTTTTATAAGTGTATCTAAAGCAAACATTCCGTAGGTACTCACGCTCTGCAATCTCGGCTTTCTCCTGGATGGCATCCCGATGGGCCTTGCGGTAGAATTCGACTCTGCGGGCCTTCTTCTCCTTGAGCGCCTGCTCCTCCTTGTCCTGCAGGCACTTGTACTGCGCCCGGTCCACCTGCACCTCGAAGATCCTCTCCTCCCGCTCGGCCTCCCTGATCTTCTCCCGCGCCGCGATGTCCTCGCGCATGCACTTGGCATGTGCCGCATTCCGCTCCTGCTGGCGGGCCACCTCCTCCTCCTCGGTGGCATGACCGAAGGGCACCAGGGCCGCAGGACACAGCTCCTCGTCGGCCCGCTCCTGGGCACGAGCTGCCTGAGCGATCTCTTCGTTCAGCCCCTCGTTGTACTTCCTCTGGTGGATCATCTCACTGAGGAGCAGGGCCTGGTGCAGGGCTCGCGGTCCGGGCTTCAGTTGATCCAGCAGAAGATTCGCTCGCAGGATACGCTGCTTGCGGCGTCGCTCGTCCATCAGCTTGGTGGTCACCTCCTTGACCACAGTCAGCGCCTCCTTGCTCTTGGCCCTGTCCGACTTGTGGACCCGGGGCACATTGGGATCGGTGAACAGGCTGCACAGCAGGTCGTTGCCATCCTTCAGGTACTGCCGGTACCTGCGCTCCTCCTCCACGGCCTCCAATTGGGCGTGCTTCTCATCCTGGCGCGATCTTCCCTGGATTGCCGCAAAACGCTTGGCCGAAATCACCACGGGATGTCGATGGAAGCGCTTTCGCACGAACAATCCATCGGCACCGACTTCCTTGTTCTTGCACGGGTTCATCTTGACTATGGCAACATGTAGGTAGCTCGCTTCAGAACTCAAAATCAAAAAGTATTGACTTCTTTGTGGTGTGAAATGTATGATTAAACTGCTCTGAAAACTCGATCGGTCTGCTTTGGAATTGAAATTAAACTAACAATCAAAGGGTGCTGAGGTTTTTACCGAACGTAATGATCATTTTTTACTTTTACCCCCCTAAAACATTAAAAAGTCATCATAATTTTTGTTGATGCGATCTGGGTTCAAATCTAAGTTTAATTGCAACATTGAGAATTTATTGTATTGTCAATTAATGGGCTGTCATATTCTGCAAATTATTTCCTTTTTTAATGGAAAGATTCTTCACCTGCTTGATAAAAAAAACATTTTTCTAAAACTGATTAATTTTTAGATATTTATAGCTTTATAAAATGTCACTTCTTGATTTGTGCTTAATCGAAACTATATAATTAATAATGTTTTTGCTTTGGCGAGGTATTAAATATCCCCTATCTGATCTTCACTGAAAAATATTTAAAAAGGCCTCAATTTGGCTTAAAATAAATAAATCACTGGTTATGATCCATTATTGTCGGCTATAAAAACCAAAATATGGTATTTTTACCAATTGAGATATTACGGTAATAACATTATCATGCTACAATTAACACTATAAATGTTCATATCATTCGTTAACGAGGCAATAAGTCCGCAAAAATTTGCTGCATATCGGCAGTCTTTTACTGGTGTCCATAGTCATGAATCGTGTGATTATCATTTTCGGAGTTTCGGTGCTAGTTGCTTTTCTAGTCTGTAGCGTAAGAAACATAGTGACGATGTCCACTCGAAAAAAATAATTCTATATATTTTTAGGAGGCTCCCTTTGTTAAAATGACAAATGCAGTCTGCAAGTCGTACAACAAATCGTGGGTTGTCGTTCATTATTGCCGCCTTAAGGCATATTCCCGGAACAAGACTAGCTTGAATATAAATGCAACATTTATAGAGCCAGCCAACAATATATTTCTCAAAATGAAGATGATGAAGAAGGCCAGTGGCTATAAGCCGTTTTTGTTCGATTACACCATCGATGCCTGCGAATTTATGAGAAAGCGAAATCAACCCTTTGCCAAAATAGTCTGGAACTTGTTCAAGCACTTGTCTACGGTTAATCATACATGTCCCTATGTGGTGAGATCGCCAATTTAGAATCAAACTAATTATTTTTAAAACACTGTGGTTTTCTTTCAGGGCTTGCAGATGGTAAGCGATTTTCATCATATTGAATTGCCTTTTGTTTTACCAACTGGAGACTACCTACTTTTATTAGACTGGATATTTGATGGCAAGCCACAGTTCGCTACAAATGTTTATTTCACATTTGTGGAGGATCTATTGAAAACCTAATGACAAACTAATGAACGGAAATAAAAAAAACACCTAAAATTATACAGATCATATTAAAAAAACAAGAAAGAAAGCAAACTTCGGCAAGCCGAAGTTCATATACCCTTGCAGCTATCGCAAGAATTAAATATTTTTGAAAATATTAAAATTATGATTTACTTGCGTATATGTTTAAAAACATTGAAGCTATGACGATTTGCAGCTTAATTATTTGATTGTTCTTTTATATATTTTTATTATTTGTATGGGAGCTATATGATATAGTCGTCCGATTTTGATGAAATTTAAACCATAATTCTGAAATATTTAACCACTGCTATATGTCGAGGAACTAAAAAAAAATTAAAAAACAGCAAAGTTATAATTTTTTTTCAATTATTTTTCCGATTGTTCCTATGGGAGCTATATGCTATAGTCGTCCGATTTTGATGAAATTTTAAACATAATTCTGAAATATTTAAACATTGCTGTATGTCGAAGAACTAAACAAAAAATTAAAAAACAGCAAAGTTACAATTTTTTTTCAATTATTTTTCCGATTGTTCCTATGGGAGCTATATGCTATAGTCGTCCGATTTTGATGAAATTTTAACCATAATTCTGAAATATTTAACCATTGCTTTATGTCGAAGAACAAAACAAAAAATTAAAAAACAGCAAAGTTATAATTTTTTTTTCAATTATTTTTCCGATTGTTCCTATGGGAGCTATATGCTATAGTCGTCCGATCCGGCTCGTTCCGACTTATATACTACCTGCAATAGAAAGACAACTTTTGGGAAAGTTTCATGCAGATAGCTTTAAAACTGAGAGACTAGTTTGCATATAAACGGACGGACAGACGGACAGACGGACGGACAGACGGACAGACGGACATGGCTAGATCGACTCGCCTAGTGATGCTGATCAAGAATATATATACTTTACAGTGTCGGAGACGTCTCCTTCACTGCGTTGCAAACTTCTGACTGAAATTATAATACCCTCTGCAAGGGTATAACAAAATAATAAAAAATGTATTCTATTGCTTGCCCTTCTATCTTCCTCTACCTTAAACGTGGTTAAAGAATGAAAAAAACAATCGGATTGGTATATTATATATAAATTGTATTTACAACCTTTGTCAGATCATTAGCAGAACATCATATTGTCACTAAATCAAAAACCACACACAAACAAACAATTTGTAATAATGTTTAGAGCAACAATCCCAAATGATTTACAAAAATATTCAATAATAAAGACTATTATATATTATTTGACTGGCAAGCCAATACAATAATATTTCTGAAATTTTTTTTCAATTTAAATAATTATTTGAGATTGAATATTTTTGATTTTTATTTTGTAGTCCCATGTAAAGTGCTAAATTGATTCAGATTTGTCAAAATTTTCCCCAGTAATCGGACAGTGCATACTTAATAAATCATTAGAAGAATAATAATCAATTTGTACCTTGTTTTATTATGCAACAAATGTTAACATTTAGAATTGAACTGTGGTTCCGACCAAAAAGTCATGGATTCTAAGCTTTTCCTACTTGGAGCATTCATCAGTGCTGCGTTTCTGGTCTGCAGTGTAAGATAACTTAGATTTTAAAAAATATTATAATGCAATACTAAACGTTATCTCTGTTAGGACACGTACTTTGTTAAAATGACTAATGCAGTCTGCAAGTCTTACAATGAATCGTGGGTCGTTATTCATTATTGCCGACTGAAGGCCCATTCACGCAACAAAACCAGCTTAAATATAAATGCAACCTTTCTGGAGCCAGCTAACAACATTTTTGTCAAAGTTAAGCTAATGAAGAAGGCCAATGGCTATAAGCCATTTCTGATTGATCTCACAATAGATGCCTGCGAATTCATGAGAAAAAGAAATAATCCCGTCGTCAAGATCATATATAAAATGATTAAGGATGTGTCCACGGTGAATCATACGTGTCCATATGTGGTGAGATCGCATTTTTGTAAATATATGATCAAGTATTAGCTATTCGTATTATTTTTTAGGGCTTGCAGACGGTGAGCGATTTCTATGATATCCGAATTCCCGTTCCATTGCCAACTGGAGAGTACCTACTTTTAGGGGACTGGATATTCGATGCTAAGGCGCAGTTCGCTACAAATGTTTATTTCACCTTTGTGGAGGATTAATTAACAAAATGTTAAATGCATAAAAACTAAAACAAAGACCCTTTACTAAACTTATTAAAATTGGTGGAATTTATGGATCATTAACTCTTTGTTTTTATGTTTTTGCAAATAACACCGAGAACTGAACTCACCAATCACTCTAACTCCAGTGGGGTGTTTTGGATCATTAATCCCTTAATTTTAAAATTCAAGAATTATTTGAATATTTGTATATTTGTAATGACTTAATGTGTTATTACAATTTTAATGAGATGTGCTTAATCGATTCAGATCCATTAACATTTTCGCCAATACTCGGACATTGCCTACTTAATTAATCGTTAGCTGAACAAAAAACAGAACTTGACTAAAGTTTAATTAAGGTTATGCAACAAACATTTAGTATTGAACTGATACTTCGGCCCAGCAGACATGGATTCAAAGTTGTTCTTCCTTGGAGCTTTTATCACTGTTGCTTTTCTGGTTTGCAGTGTAAGATGTCCTTATTATTTATATCTGAAGTACTAAAAATCATCTTTGCTAGGACACGTACTTTGTTAAAATGACCAATGTAGTCTGCAAGTCTTATAACGAATCGTGGGTCGTTTTCCATTATTGCCGACTGAAGGCCCATTCCCGCAACAAAACCAGCTTAAATATAAATGCAACCGTTCTGGAGCCAGCTAAAAACATTTTCGTCAGAGCAAAGTTTATGAAGAAGGCCAGTGGCTATAAGCCATTTCTGGTTGATTTTAAATTAGATGCCTGCGAATTTATGAGAAAAAGAAATAATCCAGTCGCCATAATCATACATAATATGATCAAAGAAGTATCCACGCTCAATCATACCTGTCCCTATGTGGTGAGATCGCATTTTGATAAACATTTGATCCAAATATAAGCTAAACGTATATATTTTTAGGGCTTACAGGCGCTAAGCGATTTCTATGAGGTTCGAATTCCAGTTCCATTGCCATCTGGAGACTACTTATTGCTATTGGATTGGATATTCGATGCTAAAACGCAGGCTGCTACAAATGTTTATTTCACCTTTGTGGAGGATTAATATACTAAATGTTAAAAACATAAAAAACTAAAACAAACACTCTTCACTAAACTTATGGAAATTAGTAGAATTTATGGATCATTAACCATTTGTTTTTGTGTTGTTGCCAAGAACACCGAACTAATCACTAATCTTACTCTAGAGGGGTGTTTTTGATCAAATTTGTATTTGTGTTATAAAATGTGAATTTTGAAGTTAGTCGTTAAGAACACTTATCAGACTTATTAGTAACACTGGCTTACCAATTTTAAATCGACAGAATCCTCCAGAGCAAAAACGTTATTTTTTAACATTTTTTACTTGTTTTTATACCTTTTTATTCCTTATCTCCAGTTTTGTATGACTGATTTCGGTAAGAGATAATTTATCTTACTACAAATATAACATTCATACTAATGGTATGAGGATTGGTTTCTTAATATAGATGCCAGAGAAAAATTACATATTTTTATTAGACTGGATATTTCATAGTTAATGTGTAATTTATTTAAATGTGGTTATAAATCCTTCCAAAAAAAATGTTGTTTTCATTTTTTTTTATATATTTTTTATTATATTTTGTTTGGTCTGTAATCGCCATGTGCTATAAATACTTGTAATTAAACTTATAATTTTACTTTCATATTATTATTTCACATTTCATGAACCAAGAATAACAGCAGGTCGAAAACTAGTTTTTGTTGTATATTTTTAATGACTTAATTTGATATTACAATTTTAATGACATGTGCCTACTTAATTAATCGTTAGGTGAACAAAAAATCGATCATGACTATAGTTTAATTAGGGTTATGCAACAAACATTAACATTTAGTATTGAACTGATACTTCGGCCTAGCAGACATGGATTCAAAGTTGTTCTTCCTTGGAGCTTTTATCACTGTTGCTTTTCTGGTTTGCAGTGTAAGATGTCCTTATTATTTATATCTGAAGTACTAAAAAACATCTTTGCTAGGACTCGTACTTCGTTAAAATGACCAATGTAGTCTGCAAGTCTTATAACGAATCGTGGGTCGTTTTCCATTATTGCCGACTGAAGGCCTACTCTCGCAACAAGACCAGCTTAAATGTAAATGCAACCTTTGTCGAGCCAGCTAATAACATTTTCGTCAGAGTAAGGTTTTTGAAGAAGGCCAGTGGCTATAAGCCATTTCTGGTTGATTTTAAATTAGATGCCTGCGAATTTATGAGAAAAAGAAATAATCCTGTCGCCATAATCATACATAATATGATCAAAGATATATCCACGGTCAATCATACCTGTCCCTATGTGGTGAGATCACATTTTTATAAACATATGATCCAAATATAAGCTATTCGTATTTTTTTAGGGCTTGCAGACGGTGAGCGATTTCTATGAGCTTCGAATTCCAGTTCCATTGCCATCTGGAGACTATTTACTTCTAATCGATTGGATATTCGATGCTAAGACGCAGTTTGCTACAAATGTTTATTTCACCTTTGTGGAGGATTTTTAAAAAAAAATTTAAAAACCCAAAAAATTTAAGAATCCTAATGAGTCTTTGTTCGTAAACGCCTTTTAATGTTTTGGTGAGAAACAACTGACCAGTTTCACTGGGAAGTTATCACTTGTATATGTTTTTCTGAATTTCTGTATTACCTGCGAACTGTTGCAGATAAATATAGCAATTAAAGTCATTTTTATATTTTGAAAACCATCAATAGTTCAATTATATTATTACTTAATAATCAATCTTTTTTGGATAATTGTTTGGAAATTGCAGAACTATTATATGGTCAGGCTTCCAATATCACAATAAATATTTGAACTCTCGTATTTAGTTGTGGTTCCAGTCTAGAGTCATGAATTCAAAGTTAATCTCACTTGGAGTGGCTGCATTTCTTGCCTTTCTCGTCTGCAGCGTATGATTGCATACAATTAAAATCCACATAAATTCAAAACTAAGCTTAGCATATATTTTTCAGGAGGCACCATTCGTCAAAATGACCAATGCAGTCTGTGAGTCATACAACAAATCGTGGGTCGTTTTCCATTATTGTCGCCTAAAGGCCTATTCGCGAAACAAAACAAGCTTGAATATAAATGCAACCTTCCTGGAGCCAGTTAATAATGCATCTATCAAATTAAAGTTGATGAAGAAGGAGAATGGCTATAAACCGTTTCTTATTGATGTTACTTTGGACGGCTGCAAATTTTTGCGAAAACGAAATCACCCTGCAGTAAAAATGGTCTGGAATTTGATTAAGAATGTGTCTACAGTGAACCACACGTGTCCATATGTGGTGAGATCGCTTTTTGAGTTTTCAACCGATCATGTTTAAAGCTTTTAACTGCTCTTAGGGCTTGCAAGTGGTAAAAGACTTTCATCGTATTGAGTTACCTATTTTGCTACCAAGTGGAGACTACCTACTTTTATTGGATTGGTTTTTCGATGGTAAGAAGCAGTTCATTACAAATGTTTATTTCAACTTTAACGAGGATTAAAACGACGGAACAATAAGAAATGTACACATTTAAATGGCTGGCAAAGCTGCAAACGGAAGTGGAATATTTATTATTGTTTATATAAAAGCATTTGAGTCAAAAATAAATGGATTGGTCATGGATTATAAATGTATCCTAATAAGATTATTTGGATTATTATTTGTTTGCAGTGTACGAATTTTTATACCCTTGCAGAGGGTATTATAATTTCAGTCAGAAGTTTGCAACGCAGTGAAGGAGACGTTTCCGACCCTATAAAGTATATATATTCTTGATCAGCATCACTAGTAGAGTCGATCTAGCCATGTCCGTCTGTCCGTCCGTCTGTCCGTCTGTCCGTCTGTCCGTCCGTTTATATGCAAACTAGTCTCTCAGTTTTAAAGCTATCTGCATGAAACTTTCCCAAAAGTTGTCATTCTATTGCAGGTAGTATATAAGTCGGAACGAGCCGGATCGGACGACTATAGCATATAGCTCCCATAGGAACAATCGGAAAAATAAATGAAAAAAAATTATAACTTTGCTGTTTTTTAATTTTTTGTTTAGTTCTTCGACATATAGTAATGGTTAAATATTTCCGATTTACGGTTTAAATTTCATCAAAATCGGTCGACTATAGCATATAGCTCCCATAGGAACAATCGGAAAAATAATTGAAAAAAATTATAACTTTGCTGTTTTTTAATTTTTTGTTTAGTTCTTCGAGATATAGTAATGGTTAAATATTTCAGAATTATGTTTTAAATTTCATCAAAATCGGACGACTATAGCATATAGCTCCCATAGGAACAATCGGAAAAATAAATGAAAAAAAATTATAACTTTTCTGTTTTTTAATTTTTTGTTTAGTTCTTCGACATATAGCAATGTTTAATTATTTCAGAATTATGGTTTAAATTTTATCAAAATCGGACGTCTATATCATATAGCTCCCATAGAAATAATAAAAATATATAAAATAACTATATAATAATTGAGCTGCAAATCATCATAGTTTCAATGTTTTTCAGCATATACTCAAGTAAATCATAATTTAAATGTTTTCAAAAGTATTTAATTCATGCAATAGCTGCAAGGGTATATGAACTTCGGCTTGCCGAAGTTTGCTTTCTTTCTTGTTTTATCTACCCTTAAAACGAAGTAAAAATCGTGGTAAAAACTTTTTTAATTTCAAGTCTATTAATAATATATTGTAAGCTGATACATCAAAAATCGTTATGGTACAAACCTATGAAATGTTCAACCGATTTAGTAAATTGGTTTTTTTTAATTTGTCGTCATGCTACAACTACCCAAATAAACTTTTGATTGTTGTATCTAATATTAAACTAAATATTCACGAGATTGAGATACTTTTTGTAATACTCATAAAATATAAATATATATAAAATGTGTCTTCACTGTTATTTATAGCAGTATTTAAATGGTTGACTCCTTTAAGGTCAGTTTTCATCAACCGTTCCTTAGACTTTCGTATTTGATTAATTTGATTTAAGCCTAAACTATTCTTTTATTTTTTTATAGCCAAATAACTTTTAAATCACCGGATTTTCGAATGATTTCCTCAATTAATTTCCGTCATAAATTTTTGTTGAAGCCCGCAAACGGTTTCAGTGCAGCACATGATACTTTGATACTTTGGCCATCCGCAATTAGATGAACCCCAATTAGTGTTAATCAAATTAGCCAAAAGCCTCGGAGGAGAGATTCGTGAGGCAGGAGTGTGGGTCCAAATGGTGCACATTCCAATTCCCGGCAGGCGTCAAATTATACAGAAAACTCAGATGGCGAACAAATGCGAATCAAGAAAGAAAAAGGAAAAGTTGACTTTCATGCGAAAAGTTTTTTCGGTTGGGCGGCGTGAATTTCTGCACCGAAAATTTTCATTTGGAGCGTTATAGGGGGTACTTTTTTTTGGCGGGGGCGCTGTAGGCGTGGTCAGATGCCAAACACCGGCGATTATTGTTACAAAATGCAGCGAGGCGTGTAATTTTTCGGGCCCGAAAGAAACGCAAAAGAATCCACATCCACATCCAGATTCAGATTCAGTTTGCGATTCAAATTGCCAAAGAATCCAGTGGCCCTTGGGGAGGGGAGAATGCGGCTTCTGAAAATTGTTTTGCGAAAATTAGTTTTCAAACTTTTCCTGTTCTTGTTCGTTTATCTTGCATTTCTGACGGCATCGTCCTTTTTCTCTTTTGCCTTCTTGCCTGCGTGGGCAAATGAAAATCTAAACGCAGTATGCGGATATTAATTTGCATTTGGCCCTTGACAGTCTGGGATTCGTGGTAGCTCGGTGGCACAATAAAAACCAAATTTGAATAATTTTTAATTTATTTAGCAACGGCAGCGGCCAAAATTGGTCGGTGTTTTTTTTTATGTAATTGGCATTTCTGTTGTTGTTATTTTTAAGGATCCATTTGTTGGCTTCCTTTTTAAATGGTTTCCCCGTAATTGCCATGAAATTACCTTTTGAGTGAGCCAGAGTGCCATTTTTTAGGGCAGTAGGAAAACAAACTTTATGCAAATCGTTTTAGTGATATTTATTTATTTTGATTTAAATCGTTTTTTTTTTGTTTTGTTTTTGCGTATTCAATACATACTTTATTAAACATCTCGCGTTCAATTAACTAAATTGAGACATACTTAAACTGTAAATTTATTTTGCTTTAACTATTACATTACTTAGCTACAAATGAAAAATGATTTAACAATAATGTTCACATCAACCGACTTAAATTCTTGACAATCACAAAGTTAGGATTTGATTTTGATTCGTAGAACAGTGGGTAATTTGGTATACGACTCGAGCTATGGAACTAGAACTATGATTAACCACAACGCTTTAAGGTCCGCCAATATCAGAGACTACATTGATCCTTAAACGGTAGAGAATGGAAGAAGGAATTTCTAGCAGGATCTGAGAGGAAAGTCTGATATCTCTTTGTTTTTGTTTTATTCACGGGTTTCTGATTGCACAGAAGAGGCCAACCAGGTTGGCCAAAACCATTTACAATCTATTCTACTATTTAGATTTAGTTTTAGATTTAAATTTAGATTTAAATTTAGCCAATGCACACACACAACATCCAACAATTATGATTAGTTTATGCATATAAGTATTTTTGGTTGGGAAACTTAGGGTATCACAAACACTGAATGAACACTTACTATGGTTAACTTGGCTAATTTCGATTGCAGGGGCATAGTCGAAAGCTTAAAGTAGGAAAAGGAACAGTCTAGCTAAGGAGATTTGGTTATCGTTAGATGGCAGCGAATTCAAGCTTTTCCTTTCGGCTCTTTATAGGATTTGAACTTTCACAGATTTTATAAGATTTACTATAAATTTGCTTGATGCGAATTACAATTTTTTCAATGCCAAAGTCGGTAAACATTAAATAAAATGCTTGTTAAATTACTTGATTTAATATTACAAATTTATATTAATGTGGAAAATATTAGATTTAAAATAGTTCCTATTTGATGTAAATGCATTTCATTTGAGTCAAATATGCTTTAAATTTAAATTAAATATTCAGGTATTTATATTAAATCCCAAAATAGTCAAACGAAAAATTAGAAATTTAATCTTTTATTTTAATCTGTACGGAAAATATGTATTTCAAAGTGATTTGGATTTGCGCTTGTTTTTCTCTGGGTATCAAATAATAAGTTAATGGAACTAAAAAACCCGACCTACCCCTTGTGATCTTCCAGTTCTTAGGCCTAATAGACAACACACATTTTATGGTTTGCTCATGCGATATTATATAGACACTCACACGCACATACACCTATGGAATCTTAGAGATACTACTCATTCTCACTCCCTAGTTCTTCTTTATTTCGGGGAATTTAATGCCCATCGGTAGGGCGTAACCCATCCATCCTACTTGCGGTACTCGGCCAGTGGAAAGCCGGACTTCTCAGGCGGCGGACTGTGGCAGGCGGCGCGAATTCTTGAGAACCGCAGACTGCCCGTGTGCGAATGGGTCCGCATCTTGGCCTGCTGGTGCAGCGGATGGTGCGAGCACTTCTGCGACTGGCGAGCCAGCAGCTGGCTCTTGGCCAAGATCACATCCTCTGCGTACTAAATGTCCGGAATGCTGCGTCCACAGGTCAGCTTCATGGATGATTCGCCATCCAGGGCACCTCCTCCTCCGCCATTGGCGGCCTTGCTCTTGGCACAGTTCACGTCGTGGAAGAGGTGCTCACACAACTTGGGCTCCGAATTGGAGAATTTGCCCAGTTCGGCGGCAGTGGCTGCCTGGCTGAGATTCAGATCCAGTTGCAGATCGCTGGCCTTGCTGAAGGAGGTGGTCTGCTGCTGGTGGTGCTGCTGCGGCTGGTGCAGCTGGTGCACCAGGTGGTGGGGGTGGGTGTAGGGCAGGTGCGGTGGCAGGTTCTTCTGCATGGCGCTCAGGTTGCCAGAGCTGACGGTCCGCTCCAGGATCTCGCCCCAGTACTTCTCGGACAGGCCCTCGATGTCGGGCCGCGTGGTGGCGAAGGCCTCCGTGGCCTGGTGGCCATGCAATCCGCCGCCCATTGTGCCGCGTATGTACTGTGAGGCACTGCGACTCAAACTGTTGGCCCGCGAGCGTCCACAAATGCCCAGAACGGAGCCACCAATCGAACTGGCCACTCCACCGACTCCACTAGAAGCTCCTCCTCCACTAGCTGAACCAACTCCTACTCCTCCTCCTCCTCCTCCTCCTCCTGGTGGTGGGCGGGATGAGGGCGGTTCCGGGGGAATCGGAAGCGTTGTGATTTCGAAATCGTTAGCATTGATGTGACAACAGCCTGATTTGTGCTCGGGCGTATCCTCATGGGGGAAACACTAAAAACAGAGAGCAAAGTGGGAGGGAATGGCATCATAAATTTCCACCCGCACAAAAATTAATAAGGATTTTAAATTCGCATTTATCCGGGCAGAGCACAAGGTTGGGCCATAAATATTCCACAGACTGACCCCCGGCTTTTTGCGGAAGTAAATCATGCAACTTGACTGCGTTTACCCAAAATAGAATCAAGGATTTTCGGCATGCGATGGGCTAGTGGTAGTGGGCCACTGTAAATGCCGTTTTGCATTTGCTCTTTCATAATTCAAAATCACTTTGCTGGACTGGTTATTTTTGTTGCTGCTGTGTCTGTTGATTGTTTACTTTTACATGGAGCCATAGTCTGCCAGCTTCCTGGGGCTTACACCTTTGGTTTTGGATTTATGGGTGCTTTTTGGGGTCGGAGTTGGCAGTTTTTGTTCAAGCAAAGTTGCCAGCAAAATATGCGAGGATGCAGGATGTGCACTTGGGTGAAATACCCATATTTGGGAGGCAGAGAGGTCAATGAATGTGCAGCTGGGGTGTTTGAAACTGCTATAAGCGAATCAATCAATCAGAGCTTATGACAGATTTGCTACTGAAACAGACACTGCACATCGCTTCGGTTCGGATATGCTGTAAATTAACCCAGAAAAAGCGGAAAAAAGGAAAACTCACTTTGTTTGGCATCAGTTGGCGACTCAGACGGCGGAAATCGGAGTTCAACAGCCAGTACATGAAGGGGTTCCACAAGCTATTGCTCAACGCTGTCCAGGTGACCAGGAAATCGAGAAACGGCGGCAACTGCGGGCGGAGATAACATAGAATGTCACATAGAATCAGAACTGATGAGCCACTCGTGGCCGCATTACGTATGCGCCCCGTTGTACGCAATGGAAGGCAAACGAAACAAACACTTGCCTTGGATCCAGTGCAGGCAGTGACTATCTCCTGAATCGTCCACGGAGTGACCATCACAATGAAGCCCAGCGAGATGGCAGCCATCGAACGTGAGGTGGATCCGCTCGAGTTCTTCTCCTGGATGGGAACAATCTGTGCCAAAATTTTTGTGGGGCAATGCAATTAGTGAGGGAACAATGTCGCAATTGCTGTATAGATTTTTGGACCAGCCAAAATTGTTCAATACAAACATTTTTGTAGATATTTAATTTGGAAAAAACCTTACATTTTCTTAAACCTTTTTTGGTTTACATATTTTTTAAAAGCTCACCCAATACCTTGCTAAATTGCCAAAGCTAGAATTGAAATTTAGTAATTTCATTTGATAAGCTTAAGTTGTAAAATGTGTAGAATACATGAAAATTTGTTTATAAGCTGCAAGCGAAAAGCTGTCAGGATTCTTTAAATTTGAGGTACGCATACCGATAGCCCTAACCATTTGTTTGCCTTGGCAGCCAAAGCAAGTTTAGCAGTAAATATACTAAACTTAATCCACAACTCAGTCGCTTGAACAAACTGTTTTGGCACCCGCCTCCTGCTCACTTGGCTCACCTTTTTGGTAATCTTGTTTGTCATGTTCGGCATGCCGGCCAGTCCCATGCCCATGCTCATGGCCATGCCGAGGTGGCCCATGGGATGGCCATGGTGGTGCGGGTGGCTAGGGTGGTTAGGGTGGCTAGGGTGGCCTGGATGATGTGGATGGTGCGAGTGGCCGTGGTAGAGGTGAGAGTGCAATCCCGCCTGCTGATGGTGTTGAACCTGCTGCTGATGCTGCTGATGCTGATGCTGCTGCTGGTGGTGTTGATGCATCTGGAGCTGCTGGGCGGCGGTGGGATGTGGATGGGGGTGTGGGTGGTGGGCGGCGGCCGTGAGCGGCATGGTCGGATCGTTCAGCCGGAAGCGGCTCATGTGGAAGCTGGAGCCGTAGCAGTACATCAGCACCATCGTCGTGGGAAAGTAGAGGGCGCACGTCGACAATATCCTATACGAGGGCTTGCTGTAGAAGGGCTCGCAGGCCATTAGACCCGTATTGTTGAAGTAGTAACCTGCGCATATACATATAGATTATAAAGATTGACGCGATTGAGGGCATATTGATGGTAGGCTAATCACGCTGCTGGCTCACCTTTGGGCAGGACCAGAAAGCCAAATACCGTCAGACTGATAATCCAGGTTAAGCTCAGTATGGCCACACAGCCCTGCAAAATGAGTACACAATTAGTGGAGCACATTTCCGCCAGATGTGAGTTGATTTATGGCTGGGGAAGCTGGAAAGCATCACGTTTCTGGTGCATACCGAAACAACATGTGTTTTAGGCTATTATTGGATTTTAGGTGTTTCGATATTGGGTGATTAGTCGAAAGAGAAATACATTTTTAAGGAGTCTAAAAGTATGCAACAAAATATTTTAAGACCGGAAGTCCGATGTTTTAATTCCAAAAGGAGACTTTCTTTAATTTACTGCGTACTTTTAGACACCTTTTTAAATGATTTCATTTTTATTGAATTTTGAATATTTTATTTACTAATTTAATTTAGCCAAACTTGTATTACAAAAACATTTATTTTACTTTTCTCAAAGTTTGTTCTTGTTTTGGAACATTTCAGCGCACCTTTCATCTGACAATCAAGAAATGACGAGGGAAAAAAACAAAAAAATTAAATAAAATCTTGTGATTATGCTGAAAACATTTGGTGAAGGCTGCTGACCACAGATGGAGAGCGATACTTCCGCTTTTTTGAAATGGTGAAGTGCTGCCACAGTCATAACTGACTAGCTGGGTTACTAAATGCAGCATTCTGACAGGGAAAATGGGAGAATATTGTCCTGTCCCTCAACGCTGGCCACCTGCACAAAATAAAAAAAAACCCCACCTATCCAAAGTGCCAAAGTCCTAGCAAAAAAGCGGAGAAACAACTTTTGTCTGTGTCTCTTTGAAACGGACCATGGCTGTGATTAATTTAATTTACGCTATTATATTTAAAACTTTTGCCAAGCGAAAAACCAACAGTCTGAGAGGTCAAACAATAAGAGAATATATTTTGAAATGCAAACATTTTATTAAGCTGCAATGCCAAAGTTTTTCATAGAGTACCAGTGGAAGTTTAATTAATATGGGCACTCGGAAACTTTTATTGAAAATTATAGAATTGAATTTTAAAATGAATTTAAATATATAAAATTGTGATTGATAAATAAGTCAAAAATGGGATGAGTTCATTAAGAAGTTCAAAGATATACTTTTTTGTCTGCTATTAAACAAAAAAATCATAAACCGAAATGATTTTTCAAGACTGCATTTGAATTTACGACACTTTTAAAAGTAAGCAAAAACGAAAGTCAAAAGTTTCTGATGCCATTACCAAGTTCCGCCGAGCATTGGTTTCTCTTGCATCTAAAGTGATTCCCATTCAGCATCCATTTATTAATTTTCGACAGTGCGCACACAATTTTTGCGAATCAGGGCGTGGCAGAGTGCCAATTTCGCCCACTGGCCCCATTTTGGGGGCCAGATGGCCAGAAAAATCAGAAATGGCGCCGATTTTTTATCCAGGAAAAAAATTGCAAACCAATTTTATGTAAATTTATTTTCCACTATTGATATTCCACTGTTTTCCTCGGTTTCCCCAGTGTTTTATTAAGCCTGATTGTGTTTTCTTTTATTAGTTTAAGTAACAACCTATTTTTAAAAACCCAAAGAAAATTGAGACCTAATCCAAAGAGGAAAGCTAGTGATTATATTTTAAAGGGTTTTGAGTTGCTCTTTTTGTATTGTTTTACAAGGAATTATTTTCAGTTGGAAAAAATATGTAAATTTTCAAAGGGATTTGTTTGTGGATGATATTTCGTTTAAATACAATGTCAATTGAGCGATAATTAAAACATGTTAGTAACTGAATGGAACTAATACTTTTGTAAGCTCCACAGGTTTCAAATTGCTGTTGCACTTAGTTTACTGAATGAAAAGGTTACTTTCAAAGGTTTTACTACTAATTTGAATAATAATTCCCATTCTGAGTGGTGCAAGTGTCTTAAAAAGTTCGAGAATATTTGAAAAACAAAAATGATAATTTGATTGGAGGAAAGGTCATTCAAGGTTCGGTTTCGTTAGCTGACTAGTCTTCTAGCTTTCGTTTTGTTTACAGTCCGGGAGCCATAAATCAGGCTGCTGGGGAACGGGAAATAGAGTTGGTAGCTCGTTTGCTGCTTTTTGGCCCTGCTTGCGGTTTCCGTGGGAGGTGCCGCTTCATTTGCCTGCCTTCGTCCTGGAAAAGGACTTTGCTGTGGTCGTCGCCCCTTTGCCGAAGTCATTGCGCGTAAAAAATCTCTAGGCCAACTTTTACCCCCCTCCCTCGCCCATCTTTTTTTTTATCCTTATTTTATACACTTTTCGAATGTCTGTACGAGTTGGCTCTCGTATTTTTTGTTGGTTTTTGCCAACTTTGCTTTTTCATTCTCCGTGATGCTTTGTTTTGCACTTGCTCTTTGGCTCCGACCCCGCCCACTTTCTTTTTTCTGCCTGCTTAATGACTGTCAAGCAGCTTAAAGCCCATTATCCTTATTTATGCTTGCGTAATTGGCTCGCCAACAGTATTGTATAGTTGTTATGTTTGTCCTCCCATTGTTATGGTCGATTTTTATTGGCGCGTGATTTCTTGTAATTACGCCAACGCTTTGTTTATTGTCCTTGCGCGAGCATAAGAATAACAAGATAAAGATCGAACCAGATCGTGCCTTATCTGAGTAACCCAAAAATAAGAAGGAAATTCTAATATCTACTCTGAATCTTACCTTTTTGCTGGAGTGCTGGTAATAGCGTCGCGGATGCAGAGCACACATATATCTATCGACGGCCATGCAAACGAGGATAACGGCACTCTGCTGGGAAAGCGCGCCGCGTAGCAGAGCCTGGAAAATGCGGAAAATGCGGAAAATGGGGTAAATGCGTTAGTGCTAGTTAAGAAGTTTATTATTTATATTATGGCTTTTTCGCCTAAAACTTTTCAGCTGTCCGGCGCAAAATGAAAAACTTGTAATGGAATTTTTTCGGCGTTCCCAACTAATACGTCGAGATTATTAATCGTCAGTATGAGTGGAATACCAGTGAGTTATGCAGCGAATGCGTGTATGTTTTACCAATATTCTTTTAGAAGCAATAAAAAAAACTCGTTCATTTTAATAGAAACATGAATTAGAAAGAAATATTGTTATGTCTTGGAATAAGCTATGAAGCATTATTAAGTAAATATTAAATCAAAATGTATGTATCAAATTAAGAAATTAATGTAATCGATGTGACTAGCGATGTGTAGCGCTAGGATACTAACAATCTAATAAAATCAAAAAAAATTTAAATAAAATGAACTAATCATATCAATGTGATTTCTTTAAAATTAATTATTGAACAGTTATCGAATTTTATTTGATAATATATCCAATATCAATGGCCTTTCCCCTCCGTGTTTTAGTTAATTAACCATACTGATAACCGGCAATTTATCGCACATTCTGGCATTACACAATTTAATGCGCCACACACTTGAATATGTTAACATTAGCATAACACATTGTTCCGTGTGATAACCGGGCTTTTCCGTTTTCATCTCCGCCACTTATGTGCTTCAATTACCGTGCTTTGTGAAGAGAGAGTTAATTGACCGCAGGGACAACAACAGATGCAGGGACATACAACAAATTAACGTATTTCCGCCTTACCTGTTGGACCTGTCGACCAGCGTTACCACCCCAAAAAACACCCACTCACCTGTATCTGGCAGAAGATCTCTCCGTACGGCCAGCAGTGAAACAATGCCGGCATTAGACCGAATGGTGTAATTAACAGACCAATTGTCAGGTCATTCAGGGCCAGCGAGGTGAGCAGATAGCGGGGCTGTCGAGGGTTAAACACCAGATACAAGGAAAGAGGGGGGATTACCGAACCGAATGACGATGACTCATCAGCCGGCCTCCGCTCACCTGTTGGTGTATGTAGGCCGCATAGCGGCGATTGTTGATGACGAAGATGACCAGGCAGTTGGCCCCGATGACGCCCAGTGTCAGGACCAGAATCAGTACCGCCTCGATGGTTTCCGCGATCCCAATGTGGGCGATGAAGTTGTGGCCCGAGTAGCGCGGATGCGAGCAGCTGGAGTTCTTCACGGCGGGCGCCACGAGGAGAGAGCCGGTCTTAAGATCCATGGCAGGGCTACAAAAAAAAAAAAACGACACGAAATAAGTCAGAAGCATTTAGGTCAGGAACATAAACTTAACCCGAGATACCCAAAAACTACTTCAAATTGTTTTTACGGTTCTGATTGAGCTAAAAGGGAACTTTAAATAGTTTTTCTTGAATTTATTTCGTTTTAAATGTATGTGAAAACTCATAAGCATGATGGTTGGTTAAAAGAAAATCTTATTACAAGAGGTAAAATATAATTGAATTAAGTAATTTACCTTAATGACAAAAAAAAAAAAATTCCACAGAAATCACTAGGGTTTTGAAATAACTTAAGATCGTGTGTTAAAGTATGCAAAACAGAAGCAGTGGTGTCTTTCGGAATAAATCCCATGGTTTTTCTGACTTAAAATAATACATGTCTAGCATTAAACAAGTTACATTGCGTAAAATATTTATTTATATAATTAAACAAATAAAGTTTTGCTAGTTGGTCCAATTAGGTCTTCTCCAGTGTTCTCTACACAAATTGGATTTATAAGCTAGTCATATTATGCACTGTGTGCAAGCCATGTGTATAAATTAGGTGAAATTGCCTATACGCCCTGTGGCCATTATGTCGTCCGGCCACAGAGCCCAGCGCGCAGTTTCTTTCGGAGATGCCTTCCGCTACCATTTCCGTTTCCCCTGCGACGAATGCAAAATGTCGGCGATTTGTTACGCCATAATGAAGTCGGAGCATGTGAAAGAGAAGCCGCGCTGACGATTTATCAGCCAGGGAATAGCTAAGGCGACAGGATGAGGTTGAGCATTAGGATGAGGATGAGACCGCCCGTCGACGAAACCGCAGTGTTGTCACTCCGCCGGAGTGCTGTTGCTTTGCATAAAAGACAATGGCGCAACAATGGCCCAATATGGCGGCACATCCGGTTGCCGCCATTGCCGCCATTGCCGCCCCGAAAATAGCAGAGTGACATAATGAAAGTTAACAGGATAATTGGATGACTTGGGTCTACAGTCTACGCGACATTGTTCGCTATAAATCAAAATACTCCCGTCAGTGTCACGTTGATATCTCTCTTTAGCGAATCTAAGAGCGCGGTGAAAAATGTCTTGTGCAGCGAGGCAGTGGCTTTAAAGAGTTTTCCGTTTTCCGCTTTCCATTTTCCCGCTGTCGCCGACTGTCTGTAGATGTAGCCGTATCTGTATCATTTGTTTGTTGTCGCATCTCTTATTAAGTTTTGCCACGCATACAGTGCTCTATATATGTATATGCACCATGGTATATCCCCAGGCAACCATCGCAGATCTGGGCCTTGATTTATCGTGAAGCGTCCAAAGTCGCCAGAGAGTCGGGATGTCGCCGAGCCGCTCGGTTTTATGCTAAGTCCACAAATCACCGCATGATATATAACCGAACTGAACCGAACGGCAAAACATTACAGCTCACCCAATGGCCAAATGGCCCCCATGTCTGGATTTAGTACGCTAATGTGTCTCAGTTGAGCTTCAGGTTTTTCATTAACAAAACGTTGTGCTGGCGGCAATAAATCCTCAACTTTGGCTGAATCAATTAGGATCTGGTTAGTGAGTGGTATCCGCTGTAACCGCTTCGGGATTCAGGTTTCCACTCATCATGTGTGTGTGTGAGTGTGAGTTCGTTTCGGTTAAAAAACCAATTTCAATTTCCAAGTAATGAAAAGAGGAAATTCGCTTAATTCCTCGCATTGTTAAGTCTGGCGTAATCGAAGAGTTGCAACTGCACAACCAGAAGCCCAGAGAAGGCAGACAAAGCAGAGCAGAGGGCGAAGGTCCTGGCGAAAATAAAAGGATAACGAAGGCAGACGCAAATGCGAGACCGCGTAATTGTTTTAAAATGCACAACGAAAATGGCAATAAATGGCAGATCCAATGGGTAAAATGGTAACTGGTAACTGGTGACTGGTGACTGGTAGCTGGAAACACAGCTCGTTCGGTCATGGGGCAATGCCATTAAAATAAACGAAATTTCCATGCCAAATTTTAGGGTCATTCGGCAGGGAGCAGGGTTGAAATAGTCATCAGGATGCTGCGACCACAGCTCCGTGATCCCATTTCGATGACACTGCCAAAGACAAATGCAGAATAAATAATTTAGCTGCCGGATTAGAGAGCCGCAATCCGCTTTTGAATTTACACTCAAGTAACTGCCATTAGTGGCGAACTATTGCATATCATTAGGAGCCACCGCAGATTTGCAGTTGTAACAGCAACAGCAATTGCAACTGCAACAGCAACATCGACAGCAACAGCAGCAGCAACATCAACAACAACTGATGTCGCCCCCAATCAGCGTCCATTGTGCATCCGCAGCATCCTAATCCGCAGCCAAAGTTATTGCTGTTACTTGGCACTGGATTTGGCCAGGATGAAAATAACAACTCGCAACGCACTCGCTTCCAACCGCTTTTTGCCCAGCCAAATGGCTAAGAAATGCGCAAACGTTTCACGGCAAACTGGGGACCAGGTTATCCAATGCACTGGACCCAAAAATTGTGATTCGGTTCCAACTTTAAGATTTAAGTAAAGAAATTAGGCAGCATGTACAGTAATCAGAGCTTTCTGCCTTTAATTGTTTATTCATTAAGATTTAATTATTGGCTTATTCCAAAAACCAATTTTCCAATTCTTTGGTGTGTTAAGTGTCATTAGAAATAGAAAAGTCCTATTCTCTGCAAGTCCTATGTGCACCTTTTTAACTAAAAGAAAACATTTATGAGTTAATACAAATTATTTGTGAGCTTTAAAAAAGAAAGGTTGGTTTTGCTAGCTACAAATATTAATTTTTCCAGAAAATCAATTGTAGATAATTAATGCGCGATTGATGTTTAAAATATATTGTAAATTTTAACAATACAACAAATATAAGGATACGTTTATAAGTTTCTTAAAGAGAAGTTTTATTTGGCTACAAGTTTTATATAAATAACAAAAAAAAAAGTGTATTTAATAAGTGATTGATAAGCCAAAAATATATTTAAACTTTTACAATGCTTCCAATCTTGGGATTTATTATTAAATTTTTAAAAGAGAAAAATGGATTAATAATATTTTTATTTAGGACGGTTTACAAGCAGTGTATTCACCCACAAAAAAGGGCACTAGTGCTGCAGTTCTGAAAAAGGGACACACCGAAATTGCTGGGCATAAAAAACAATGCCACAGGAGCAGAACAGCAGAGCTCCATGGAGCAGAAAGGACGCAGGATGCGGAAGGGGAGAAACGGTAGTGGGTCGGGTTAAGGGTTAGGGCGTAGGGAACACCACTTCCACATTCACTGTGCGTTTTGTCCTCCCAAATGACTTGTGTGTGTGCGTTTGTCTCGGTTTTTGGCCCTCTGTGCGTGCGTGTTAATGCACGAAACCGTAACGCCAGACTGAGGGAAAAAAATTTAAAGCCAGCCTGACGGCGATGCATTTCATGCACATTTACACTGCGGAACTGGCTAAGTTTTGCCAGCATCAGCAACAGCAACAGCAACTGTGATCTTAAGCCATTGCTGACACACCACAAATATGTGTGTGTGTGTGAATGTCAGCTGCATTTCACATGCAAATTTGCTGGGAGAGTATCCCATTTTTTCTGTTGGCTTATTTATAAGACTTTCTTTGAGGCCACTCACTTGGCACATGGGTCGAAGCTGATTTCGTTTGACAAAATGCTTCAGCAGCCACCCGTTCAGACTGATTGCCACGCCCATCAGTCTGGGAACATGGCAAGGGCTTAAGCTAGATTGTGTGGGGCCAAGTGTGGATTTTGGCTGGGAATTTGTGTGCTCAGCCGAAGAGCTGGCCTAAATTGACTAGTTGAGGCGACAGATTCTCAAAATTGCTTGACATTGTCAAATGGTTTTGCTTAAATAATTTCCCATTGATTGAGGCCAGACACCTGGAAATGCGATAATTAATATCCGGCAGATGTCACTTAACAGTTGAGTTTCATCTGCCGCCAACGTGTCGTATACGTGTTGTAATCAACACAAGAAAAAGCAAATTAATTATGAAATGAATTTCATAAAGGCAAACATTGTGCGTATATCACTCTGTTATGCCAAGCTGTGTTTACTTTTAAACAATAAGTGATTTCTTGGAATCAAGTCGAGATGTTGCCGAGCTGAACATGAACGTTGTGTAGTTATTTAAAAAGCTCTTTACAAATATTAAATAATACTGTTATTATTTAATAGGTGGTTTGCATACATATATTTCGTTATTTAAATATGAAATATGAATATATTTAAATTTGATTATCTGTTTCATAACCTTTTATATCAGAAGTGTTTTCATGGCATTCGATAAATATGCAAATTGAAACTGGTTGCAAGCACTTCCTTTTCTGTGCAAGCGAATTAAATCACATTAGCTCTTTTAATGGCGTTACGTGCTCAAAAACTGATGGCTGATGCATGCAAAAATCAGTAGTATATTAAATTATTGATTCAGTGATGAGCCTTATAATAAACACTGAAATATTTCTGCAGGCATGGTTTGATACAGATTTGATTGGCATGCAAAGAGGCTTCTGTACAAAGAAAATAACAAAAAAAAGGCGAGGTACATTCACGTATTTAGGGCGGATACAAAAGTTTGAAAGCCAAAACGGTGCAAACGGAATTTAATAAATACGTGCAAGGCATTTGTAATTTTTACTCGCACTCGCAAAGCGTTTCGGCATTGCCTTAAAAGCTAAAAAACTTCCCAAAATAATCACCCGCTTGGCTGCAATTAAAGAGCTCCCCGCAGCCATAAAGCGAATCCCCTTGGAAAACACACACTGAATGTGTGTGAGTGTGTGTTCTGGCTGTGTGTTTTTTGGTATTCCCTGGTACAACTTTTGCGTTTGCCATGCGTGGTCACGTACACGTGAAAATGGCGTAAATGTTTTAAAAGTTGCATCAAACTTGTTATGAAGTATTTGCCCCACTGAAATGAAAGGAGCAGCCAGTGGACCCCTTTATCACCTACTCCCCACCCAGAACTTGCCAAGAAATTGCAATGCATGTGCCACAGTCCAAAGAAATTAGCAGAAACATTTGTGCGCTTCAAGAAGGAACTTAGACTTTTTGTGTTAATGATAAAGTGGCAAAAACCTTGAAAAGTTGCTGAGTTTATATTTATTTTATTGAGAATTTTAAGCTTGTCTGGTTTTGTAATTTAGTAAGCTCCATTACCATTTGCATTAGTTTTTTAAATATTTAAAATAAAATATTAACTTTTTTTAAGTATTTGGATAATAAAATTGCTTACTTCTTAAAAATGCGTTCTAGATTCAACCTTCTCACTTTCACTGGATATATTTGACAGTATACAAAATCGAATAAGTCAAACAAAAAATTGTCACCCTGATATAGCACCTTAATTGAAAAAGTCATTTATGTAAAGATAAAAATGTCTTTTACACATTAAATTCAACTTTGCTCAAATAAAAATCATACAAAAGAACTCTTAGCTTATGTATTAAAAAACGAATTCTTTGGCAATTTCTTATATTTCATACTGTTTAGACAAAGTTTATAAGTAAAAGTATATTTTAATTTAATCATTCTAAAAGCTTTTTGCTTGATCTTACTTAAACAATAATATATGTACAAGTTTAGATTATAAATTCTGAGAAATAGGTTCCAAACTACGCAGCTATTAACTTGAACTTACAATGCCGCTCAAAACTTTGTTTCTAAGGTAATTATTCAACATTTTCCATTGCGCTGTCAGGTTTTACTGAAAATGCAGAGAGGTAGGCTATGAAAATCGTCAACCGCAACGACAACACTGGGTACAAAGTTATCTTTTGCTCCCGGGGATCGGGCTCATGTTAGTTTTCAAGTACGAAATAAGCAGAGTTTCCTGTGCCGGTTTACTTTTGCAAGCCTTTGGCGGCGCGAGCAGGTGGAAATGGTGGATAAAATGGGAGAAAATCCTTTCGGACGGTGCTGATGTTTCTCTTTAAGCCACGACATGCAATTAAAGCACATCCCCTTTGGCGATTTTGTTTGCGAAATTTTACTGCCTTTGCCAGTCAGTGCGGCTTATTGCGCCGACAACTGAAAGTTAATGTTAATTAAGGTCTGAATCGGAAGTAATTTTCCCCTTTGTCGATTTCTTGGCTTTTGAGCCGTGAGATATTAATGCCCAGCATATTCACCAAGTGTTTTCATTAATTAAATGTGCAGTTCGCAAGCTGCACTTCAGATCTCTTTCCTAATGATGTCTCTGGATTTGATTGGTTATATCCGCTCACTCACTTGCCAAGGACTCAAGGACCGCATTAAATCGAGGTTTAATTGGAAAGTAATTAAAATGAAAAATGCCTTTAAGCCAGTGGTCTTTTGTTCGGCAAAACAAAGGAGAAGGCCACCAACAAACAATGGAAGTAGTTTTTACCAGCAACAACCAACATTCGGCGTTATAATTTTCAGGCTGTCAGTATAAATTATTTTTAAATTGCTCTCGGCACCGTCGTTGTAAATTATGCATTTAATAAATAAATAAATAATAAATATGGCACTTTATAACCCTAACTGATTGATTTGATTTTCTGCCTGACAAATTGGAAGAGTAAGCCAATCAGTGTGTGATATATGTATATTTGGTATATTAAATGGCGAAATCTGAGTGATGAGCTGGACCATAAATGCTCACTCATTTGCAGCATTCGACACCATTGTTAATCCCGAAAAGGGCTTAAATGGCACTAATTAAGGGCAGCACATGTTGGATTGGCTGGCAAGATGAATGTCCGCAAATGCGGCAAAAGGGAGGACCATTAGTCATGGAAATATGTTGGCCAAAAAGAACATGGAACTATGAAAACAAAGAGATGGGGTAAAATCCCGGATGGAGTTCACTTAACAGATCGTTTATTCATGTGTCTAAGGCTTAAGCAAAGTATTATGAAACTATAACAGGCAATTATGTGTGTTGTTCATATGGCCTTTGTTGTTTTAGTTTTTTTCAATAACTACAAAAGGTCTGACTTTGTGTGCACACCATTAATAAATGCAGTTTTAAATCGGCTTTGGCTGGCCGACAAATAAACTCCCGTTTATGAACGTTAGGTTTCGATGCACTTTTGCTGTTATGGACATTCGGTTTTGATGGTTGAAAAACTGTTTGTGCGTCTGCAAAAGTAAATTCTGATAATATTCAAGTGCTATCGTCTGGCCAAAATGCCCTTAACCTTTCGGAATTATGTTCGCTTATACGCAATTTCACGATTCATCGCGCGCCAGACGTCGAAATATTTGCACGAAAGGCCTAAGGGGATTTTGCGTGAATTCTCGATTGACGGCATATTTTGCATGACTTAAAATGCAGAACTCTTTAAATACGGCTGGTAATTAAAACGGCAGTCGCTCACACTCCACTGAAGTGGAGCTACCATGTAAATTCTCTCCTCTTACATTATTAATAACTCTCGAATATTCATTGAAAGTCAACGAAATTCGGTATGCTGCATTCAGCTCGGATCGATTCGAATCGAATCGAATCGAATGATTTAAATGTCAACATGTGCCGATTGCTCTGCACTCTGGTCACTTAATCACGTCCAGGGATTTCCCAATCGACTCCTTGAACTCCTTTGGCAAAATGATGAATGCGGCCTTTCAACATGACCAGCAATCTGATGGCATTATCCATTCTACATAGAGCATATTTACAAAAGCCAACCGTATTTGCGGATTCGTTATTGTTAAGATCGCATTTGCGTTTAGCGGATTTGGAATTCAGTGACAGGCAAACCGTAAATATTTGCACCACATTGGATAACGAAACAACCAAATACACAACAGCATAAATAATGGAACACATGTATCCCTGGAGCTTAACAGGCGACAAAATACATACGTAAGGCAAATGCCACTGGGCAAATGCCGCTCCTTTTGTGCCAACAACAGGTTGAATCAATACGCGCAATTTGAAACTAAAACAATTCCGAAATTTCTGCCGAACAATAGGCACAATGGCAAATAGTCATTGTGTGACTAAGCCATTTCCTGCCCCGAGGGAAAATACAATAACACGCTTTTCGCACTTTTACAAAATTCTATAAATTGGCGTTAGCAAAGCTAAATAAATAGGAATATAAATAGCAAAAATTAGGTGAAATATTATAACAGATATTTTTAATTAAAAAAAAAGAAGATATTATCAATAGCAAAGGGTAATTCTATAAGTCAGTTAATAATACCATTTAAAGTTTGCTTAAAATTTTTATTTTTTAATGCTAAGTCTAAGGGGCTCCAATACGAAAAAGCCCTCTTTTGTACATTTTACAAAAAGTGTTGCACACTTTTAAAGACTTTTCAAACTAGTTTCAGAACCCCTTAAATTTTCTTCCCAAATTATTTTTGCAGTGTCGAAACAAATGGATAATGGAAACAGAATCAGAAACAAGAACCACCAATCTACTACCAAAAGGCACGTTGTGAGACGTGCGAAATTTAATTGCCATTATCTTTTAATTTTTTCGGTAATCATCTCTTGCTGTTCAAAGTGTGTGTGTGGTTGAATATTTTTGCCGTACTGACAGCCAGCGGAATTGAGTTCAAATGAAGCTGCAACGTGGCTTCCAAAGAACCAAAAACCGAAGACCAGCGAAGATTAATGAGTGTGGCGGGTCCAATTGAGAGGTCGGTTCATTCAGAGCGTCAGTGGGGGCTCCGAAAAACAACTGACAACCCAACGGCATGAATATCCGTATGCCGTACTAATTGCCACTGTGATGCATTTTTCGGATGTGAAAGCGCTGCATAAACGGATTAGTTTGCTGTCGCTGGGCTTTCCCCAAATGTTCCATGGAAACCAATTTCAACCGCGACTCATTTGCCTTAAATGCAAGCAATTTTATTTCCACTGGAACGATACACACAGCTTAATTAACTCTGCTCATTAATTGAGATTTCATTTAAGTTGAATTTCGTTTAAACTTTCTGAACTTTTGGATGACAATCAAAATAAACTCTGCGCCCAAGGTCATGTGTATTTCGCCGATATTGGAGCGAATTCGCATGAATGTTATATCGTTCGAGGGATCCAGATCCCTGACCACATTACGGGCCATGAAAAGAAGTGGCTTCAGATTGGAGACATATAGAAAAGTACGCCTCGGACTGGAGGTGGATCGAAGTGGAACTCCCTGGTTGTCCAGAATTATAATGTCACGACCTCCGCGATGGGCGAAGAGGTCGACGAAGGCATCCCCATCGTAGGACCTTTTGCGACTGTGGAGGACCAGAAATTACCAGTGAAATGTTTATAGTTGTTAAATGGTAAATAATAATTTGGAACTCACGGAGCCGCCTTTTTTACGGCTTGTGCGGCTTTCACAGTTTTACGCAGATTTTCTGTGATCGATTGCCCAGAAATTTTTGACATTTTGTTAGTTTATAAATAACAGCGTCTGTGAAAGTAGTGTATTTATCATAGCCAACTTGTGTTTGACAGAAATATAAACACAAAATATGGTTAATTTTATATCACCAAAATAAAAGACCGCTTTGGAAAGTTAAAGCATGAATGGGTATACAATTAAACCACAAGTAATTTTAGGTTTAGCCCTATGAAAATGAAATTCTATGGGTTCAGTTATGAACCTAGCAAATTAGGATGTCTCTTGATAAAAACGCTATATTTGATCACCTAAACAATCATGAAAGACTTTTTGCAAAACACGCAACATTGAAAATTGATTACAAAATAAATGAAATTAACTTTATTTTCTGAATGTAAATATCTTGTTAAAAAACGAGGTTTGTCGATTTACAAATTTTTAGAACATTACCAAAAATTGAAAGGAGTATGAACATTACAATTTAAGCCATTTTACAACTACACAGGGCTGAAACAAAACTAAAAGTCAACTAACTTAAATTATTTTCTTTTCTTTAAGATAACTATATACATACGTCGCTTTATTTTACAAAATACTTTACAATTTGATTCATATACTATAATCTGATTTAGATGGGATACTTTACATTATAATTTAATTTATATGCAATAGCCAATGTCTGATTTAGATGGGAATGCGGTTTCGTAAGTAGCTCAGTATCGACTGAGTTCCCATCTTTAGGATCTGATGACGCGGCTGGCGAAAGGGATTGCCCCACAGCTCCAACTTCTGGAGCTTCTGCATATTTCCCAGGACTGGCGGCACTATCCGGATGTCATTGTTGCTCAGATTGAGGTTGAGCAGCTGCGACAGGGCGCCTAATCCCTGGGGACTGGCATCCACGCTCTTGATCTGGTTGTCGTTGGCCATCAAGGACTCCAGGCTCTCCAGCTCGTAGATGGAGCTTGGCAGATGCTGGAAGCGATTGTGGGAGATGACCAGCTCCTTGAGCAACTTGAGTCCGCCCAACTCCATGGGCAGGTCGCACAGCAAATTGCCCGAGAGATTGAGGGCCACCAGCTTCGAGAACTGAGAGATATTGGGGGGTATGAAGCAGATCTCGTTCTGGGTCAGGATCAACTGGGTGAGCAGCTCGCTCAGCATGTGCAGATACTTGGGAACTTCGCGCAGTAGGTTGTTCTCCAGGCTCACAATGTTCACCAGCTCCTGGCGAGCTGACTCCAGGACCTCCATGGGCACCTCGCTGATTTGGGCTCTTCTGATGTTAAGGATCCGGGTATTTCGCATGAGGTGTTTGTCCGGAAATACGGATCTTTGCTCCCCCGAATGCGCCTCTCCCCCCTGCAGCCGTGGGCTATTCAGTCCGTCACCAACCATTGTCATATAGGGTATTCTCTAACACTAAATAGGTTAATTGCGGAAAGATTCGGAAAATAAAAACTTACAGAATTTTATATAAACTATAATTGAACTTGTGAGTTGTTTCGACTGATACAAATTTGAAACTGAAATATAAATCTTTCTGACAAGAGTGCTCATTTTAAAAGAATTTGCAAAGGCTTTTTGATTAATTTAATGTTGCAAAGCCTTCAAAATACTAAATCTTTAGCAATTTTTATTAAAACAAAAATTATGCTGAACTACAATAATTATCATTTCAAAAGTATTTGTAAATGATTTTCGATTAAATTAATGTTGATAAAGAATTAGCAAAGCCTTAAGTGTACTAAAGAAATTTTTAAAAAGCAAAAGTATTTGGAAAACCTTAAAACTACTGAAGAATGATTTTAAAACTTTAATATAATTTTAATAATATTAAATCCTTAGCAAAAGTATTTGCAGGCATTTTGATTAAATTAAAATCTTTAAAATGCCAAAGATTTAAACGCTTTGTATATTTCAATAAATAAAATCAATAATGGGCAATATAAGTTATATTAGTTGTTAAAATATTTTTAAAAGGATATTGAATTTTTAACCATTTTGATGATTAAAAAATGTGCTTTCCAAATAAATAATTAATTTTTTGTTAAATTCTTCGTTAATGTGTTACATTTATTTTAGGCAGAAGCAGAAGTCGAATGTACATTTATTTATTAATATATTTTAAATTTTAAGCTTTCCCTTAACAGGACTAGTTTTTTGTATTGCAAATCAATTGTAGCTAAGATCTTAATGAAATTTTCAACTTGATTCGAGCACGCCACATTCCGTCAGCTCGATCATGTTGTGGCTCATGGGCAGGTGTCCGATGGCCTCCTGGATCCGCTCCAGGATCTGCATGCCCTTTCGCACCTTGCCGAAGGCAATCCTCCTGCCGTTCAGGATGGATAGCGGCTTGAAGCTGATGGTGAAGTTCACGGCCGTGCGGGCATTTCCGCGGACATATCGACTGGGAAAGGAGAGGATGCCGGCATCCACGCCATGGTTGAGCACCTCGAAGTCGTGCTCGATGTTGGTCGGTTCAGTGCTCCTCTGCGGATCCATGGCCAGGCGGCCCTCCATCCAAACGGGTGCCAGAGCCCGGCTGAAGACGATGGATCGCTTGCGGTTCTGGGTGCAGATCCTCATGAACTCCAGCACCACCTGCGGACAGGCCTCGGTGAAGAGCTGGATGGCCAGGCGGCCCTGGATGCGAGCCTCCGGCACCGCGATGTCCAGGTAGATCTGCGGACGCAGCAGCTTGCACAGGATGCCCACGTCGCACTGGGCGTCCATCAGTCGCTCGTAGCGATTGATCACATGGAGCGGGATCTCGCAACTGAAGGATCCCGAGGACTTGGGCTTGTAGCGCTTCGACTGGCCCACCTGCGGATCGAACAGACCACCGCCCTTGTGGAACACCTCGTTCTTCTCCAGCTGCCGACGCTCCTTTTCCCTTGCCAAGTTGGCATTGCGCCACCGACCAGCTGCCAACCTTTCCGGGGATTTGGTAAAAGTGCGCAGCGTATTATTGCTCTTCTTGTAGAGAGCCGTCAGCATCTCCATGTAGGACAGCTCCATGCCGTTGCCCTCGATCTGGACCTTGGGCGGCGGCAGATGGGTGTTCACCTTGCCCTTGATGTGGCTCATGCGATCGCGGTGCTGGCGGTACAGCTCCCGCTGCTCGTTCATCACCATGTGGGATCTGGTCTGGGGCAGGTTCCTCCGCGACGTGGGCACTGGAATGAGACGCTGATGGTGACGATAGTTGTTCACCAGTGCCTGTTTCTGCACATTGAAAGTGGGCTTGGGACGCGGCTCCTCCACCTGGCCATCCAAGCCCACCAAATTGGGATTATGGCTTTGGTACACCGGATTGGTCATCGTATAGGGTCCACGCTTCACGGCAGCCACATACGAAGTCATCGAACTAGGTACTTGGGGAATCTTGCCCCCCGAATTGCGTGGCACATCTCCGCGGATGAACATTGTGGCTAAATTGTCAAAAAATCTATATACTTGAATTTTAAATTGCTGAGCGGTTTTCCGTTAACCCTTTGTGATTGGCTAAAAAACGTTGACTGATGGAATTTGTTGGGGAGAAATGTAGAATTAACAATCATAGGTCACCCAGTTTGTGCAGTAAAAACAAAATGAAACAAAGGCAATTGAAGCGTTCGGCAACATAATTATCTGCCTAATGCTAATTTCATTAACTGAAACATATAAGCTGCACAAAACATAATAAAATGCCTGCTATGCGTGTGGTTTTTTGTTCTTTGATGTGGAAAGCAACATGAAATTGCAAATTTTTGCATCAATTATTTATTTGATATATGTATACATTTATATATATTTATTGTGCTGTCGACGCGTGAAATATAAAGTTCAATTTAATTATTTTCAACTATTTTAAACGAAATTAACACTGCGGTGGGCTCATAAATGCCAACTTATTTTCGCGTAATTAGTGATTTAATTAAAAACAGCAAAAATGCACGTCATTAAAACGAAATATTTGCCTAGTTGTTCTCTACACTTATAATTCCCATTGTTTATTGTGTGAAAAGCTACAGATAGTTAATAATTATTTCATATCTTAATGTTACATACATTTTGAAGTACTTTATTTATTTGTTGCTCATTTATTCCAGACGAAAGCAGCTTTGGTTTTATTTGCACTCTTTTGACTTTTTATAATCGGTCATTTAATGGGGCATAAAATGATTTTCACAGTTTTTGTCATTGCCAATTGGTGTTTTGTAAGCCCATTGAACCATTTGGAAAACGGACAATTAGCGACCATAACACTTGAATAATTTTGCGACATAGTTTGAATAAATTGCGGAGCTTCAAAAAACTAAAACCTACTAATTTTAACAAGGCTTTTGCGTAAAAGCCTAATCAAACATGCATTTAAATATGCATTCTTTTTTCTATGAGAGCTATTTTAAATCAATAGCAGAGCTTTCACTGATTTACTTTTGTTTGAAACGGATTAAATGGTATTAATGGCATATGGTGCTCATATTCAGATAGCCGAATAAAAAATATAATTGATTGTTAATATGGTTGGGCTTTTGCGGTCACAATTAAATGATTAATGCGATTGTGTGCGGTGTAGGGGCTTCAAATTAAAGATAATCGTGCCATGAATACATGTGCGCAGTAGTCAGGATGATCTGAGGCATTAATGGCCTCCACTCAGCCGATTATGAGGACATCAACTGAAGGACATCCCTGGGCCGGGCCAAGTAAAGTAAAGAGTGCCGGGGCAAAGTGTCATTAGGGCAACGCTCTTATCGCTCAACAATCAACGTCAACGTGGGTGGATGGTTGGCTTTGGGTGGTTTTGGGTGGCTTTGGCTGTTTCGGTCCATACACATTGAACCACCTAAGCGGTTTTTTGTTCTCAAGTGTCACACCCATCAGTGCTCGTATCATCACATCACCCACTCTTCCCTTGTCCCTCTCAACTTTCACCTCCACGACGTGTTTTGTACTTTCTCTAGTGCCATGCTGTGTCCCCCTCGCCATGGCATTCATTTATTTGATATTCATATTTCAATGTACATCTTAAAAATGTGTCAACAATAAACCCACACATCCGTGCGGACAAGTGACTGCAATTTGATCAAATACATACACTGTACCATATATACACGTTGCATTCGAGCTATTTTATTTATTCTAGCCACAATGGCCTGTGACAAGTATTCCGAACGGAATGCTTGACATCTTCAATAAACCACCGTACGCATATTCGCATTGGAATTTCAGTCTAAGGTCTGGTTATATTTGAAAAACTCAAACTGCTTTCAGCCAAGTGCCATACTTTGAAGGCATCCGTTTTAGATAAAAAAGAGCATTAATTGCAAGGCATTTTTAAGTTTAAAATTTTAAATATGAATATATTCAAACGAATTTTATTTAGCTTTTGCATGTGCTGCTCTTGTTAGTCAAAAACCACAAGAAAAAATAGCTAATTCTCAAAGTTTATGATTAAATCTTTGGTAAACAAAATTTTAAAAATATTATATAGAGATAAAATAGGGAATTTATGTATGCTGTTTCTTCGTCTTTTCAATCTGCTGAATTAAATAGCTTAGCTTTCATCCTTAAAAATTTAATTTAATATTTAGAATAACTTAAATTGTATTAAGATGTAATAAAAATCCAACATTATTGCGCTAGTCATAATCATCAGTTGATGAAACACTCCAAATATACATATTTTTTTGTGAACTATAACATGACCTTGATGGCATTGCCCGCAAATTCTCCTATTATTTTTGTAGTAATTTTTTGATGGGCGAAAACAAAAGCCGGAGCCGTTAGTTAAGAGCATTATGGATCATAAATGCTTTGGCTGCGAAAATGTGATTTTATTTTGTCTGCTCTGACGCGTCTTTTGCCTCCATTATCCAAGCATCTGGCTTATGGAACCTGTCTTATTGCTGCCCCGTCTCCAGGATTATACATATACTTTCGCCTGGATGTGTATGGTACATGGCACAAGTGTGTATTTTTATGACATTCTGCTTTTTTTTCCCCCAGCTCATGGTTGGGAGCACTTTGTGTTTGTCATATTTTTTCCACCGCCGAGATGTCAGGGGAAAGCAAGCCAAAAAGGAAAAGGTCGGGGAGATTTTTGGTAAAACAGGCGAAATCATGTAAATGGAATATGTGAGCATTTAAGCTGAGATTTAGTGAAGGCAAAAGCAAGGTTTAGTCAGAGGTTTACCATAGCAAATTAAGAGAAATTAAAAATAAGTTGCCATTGACTAAGACTTTAAGAAAGCCACCAATTTCCATCCAGTCCATTTAATCAGCTGTAATTAGCCCATTGCTGCTGCTTAAATGCCATCAATTTCAGTTCCATGTTTACCAATTCGACAGACGTTCAGTGTCTGAATTGGCTGGGCCCTTAAGCCATCAGTTAATTAATGCCATTAATGCCTAAGCAGTAGGTCTCGAAACCAGTAATTAACCGAGTTGACAAATCAAGTTTGCCCCCAAGGAGCATAACGGATTGGCTTATATCAGTTAGCAAGCAGGCTTAATTAACAATAAGCTAAGGTGTTAATAGCCCGACGACAGCAGGCCTGAAAAGTTCGGTTCC